AAAAAAAAAAAAAGAAGGGCCGAGCGTGAGCCTGGTGGGTGGACAGGGTGGATTCCAAGCGCTTGGCTCTGAGCCACAGCACCAGAATGTGTGGCGTTGTAACATCCATGTCGGCTAAATCCGCCACCTTCATCTTCGACCGTCCTCAGCTTCACCTCCGACCCATCCCTCTCTGAAATCTCCAATGATTTTCTGGTCATATATACTCATGGCTTTTTCCAAGACCGTTGCTCCCAGCTGCTGCAATTTCTCGGACCAAGCTACATACGTCACGCCAACCCCCGCTCATGACGCGCTCGGTCTGGCAATCGACTGCATTCAACTCGCCGACATACATTTATGGAACTCTTCCTACGTCACCGCGTCTAAGTATCACCTCCCAAGGCTGGATAAATACCGCTCGTTTGACGCTCGCCTGCGCAAATTCCCCTCGTACTTGTTCTGAACCCACCAGACAAAAGACTTTGAACTACTTGCTTGATTCATCATGCTCACCTCGACCTGTGTTCTGAGGCTGCCTCGCTCTGGAGGTCTCGCGTCGCCTGCCGCTGTTCGCGCTGCCGCAAGGCGTACACCGCGTTCTCGACCCTCAGGCGCCCGTTTCCAGTCGTCGTCCTCATCGTCTTCCTCGACAGGGTCATCCCCAAGTGGAGCCTCCCATGTCGCATCTGGCGTCGCCGGCGGTGTGACTGTTCTCGTAGCAGGTAGACATTCTCCCCATCACCACCCCTTACTCACTCGCTCTTCGATGAACATAGCTCTAACAACAGCTCGATTTATCTTACCTCCGTCGCTACAGGTTATACTATCTACCATTTCTCTGACCTCCGCAAGACTGTCCAGGCAGCCAAATCCGCAAAGATCTACTTCCAACAAACCAAAGACCAACTAGCCACGACAGTATCCGAAAAGTTCTCCTCCGACAGCCCCATGGTCCAAAAGCCGAACGAAGCCCTTCGTTACCTCCGCAACGTAGCGCGCTCGTACGTCGCCGTCGTGCCCGGCCTTTCCTCCTACGTCGACAGTACTTTCGATTCGCTGGACAAAATCGCCGCGGACCATGCGGATGAAGCCCGCGAGATCACTCAGGGAGCGTACGATGAGATTCAGAAGATCGTGAATGAGAGCAAGAGTAAGAGTGGGAACCTGGCGGACGTGGGACCGGATGCGGCGTTCAAGGTGTTGGACGTGTTGAGGAGGAAGACGGCGGAGTTGTATGAACTGGGTAAAAAGGCGGGTGGGAGTGCGGTGGATGAGGTGTTAGAGAAGAATCCGCAGGTCAAGGAGAAATTGGGTGGTGGGTATGAGCAGTTGAAGGGGTTGGTGGAGAGCCGAGGTCCGGAGGCTAAGAAGGCTTTGGACGAAGTGTCGAATAAGGTGGGTCCAGTCTGCATCTCCTACAAACGGTCGACTGACTAATTGTGGCTTTGTTTAATAGGTCAAGAGCGTCGTCAGCCAGGGACCTAACGCCGATAATCTGACCGACCTCGCCAACCTCATCCGCAAAAAAACCGACCAAGTTCGTCAAATGGCGGAACCCGCCGCCCAAGAAGCATGGGACAAGGCCATCTCATCCGCACCCTACCTCGACAAGCTCCCGGACATCCGCCAAATCCTCGACGAGAAGAAGTCCGCCTTCCTCGCTCTCGGCGCGAGTGCTCTTTCCACCAGCGGCGGTGGTTTGGGCGACGTGATGGAGAAGGCGAAGGAAATTGCGGAAGTGAAGGATGAGAAGCAAAGGAAGGATAAAGTGCAGAAGCTGAAGGAACTCGTGTTGCAGAAGGCAGAGGAGGCACAGAAGAAGGTGGGAAGTATGAGTGGTGGGATTATGGGCAAGCTGAGCTGGGACTCGGTCGAGGGTTATGTGAAATCATTGCCAGGTGGTGAGAAAGTACGTCTGTTGTCTTATCTCATCGCATTATTTGGTAGCTCACTCAAGAATACGCTGTGCACCGTGCAGATGCTCGAGAAAGCCCCCAACGCCAAAGCTCTCCTCGAGCTGTCGAAAGACAAGGGCGACGATGCCGCCAAGCTGGCGAAGGAAACGTGGGAGGAGGTACTTAAGGTTCTAGAAGAGAAGGGCCAGAAGGCTCGCGAGCTTGCGAAAGACACCAAAGAGGAGGGAAAGCAGAAAGCGAAGAAGTGAATTCATCCTATGGACATCTAGGGACAGGCTATTCTTATTAGCATCGCTCACTATAGACGCTCGCATCTACACACGCATACGCTCTCGATTCAATCATCGTCCTGTGTAAATTATCTATCATGGTATCAGAGTATGCATCCCACGCGGCCCATTTTCGTCCACGTCCCCTTTTACCAACATTATTCAACCCGTCATCGAAGAAGTGTATGAAGACACGCCTATAAATCACCAACCCTATACTTCTCCTCATCGATCTCCGCCAACACCGAATGCTCCAGCTCTCCATCCTTCAATCCATACAGCCTCGAGAAGCTCATAATCATAGGTCGCCACTTGTCCGCGTCGATTCTGTTCGCGTGTTCCTTCGAGACAAGTCCCTTCCACACATGCACCCTAAGGATCTTGACCTCGAACACCGTGATGGACATCCTCAGCGCATCCGTATCCATATCCTCCATCAACCCGAAACTCTTCACCACATCACCCTCCATCTGTACCGGACACTCCTTCACCCTCGGCGGCTCAATGAGGTCCGACTTCGCCTCTGTCAACCCTGCCACACCGAATTTATCCTTCACGTATCTGTAGCCTCTGTCCGCTTTTCCGGCTGGAACGTCGGGCGTGCCCGTAGTGCGAGCAAGCGCGTTGATGGAAGAAGACATGGTGTCGTCGGGGAGGTTGATTACGCATTGGGATGTGCGCAGGATGTTTTTGGTCGTTTGGGATATGGTTTCGAGACCGATGATGCAGCGGTGGCCGAGCCAGAATATGGAGGAGATGGGGGCGAGGTTTGGGGTGTAGTCGGGGTTTGTGGTGGAGATCAGGGCGACGGGCGTGCCCCAGTAGAGGATAGCGGGCGAGATAGTGGTATGAGAGGTGAAGTCAGAATCAGACATGATTTGGTAGAAGGTTTTACGAGTGAGTCGAGGAGACAGGTCCGGGGTAGGTATTTTGGTTTGTTCATGGTTCACCTACCGATATATATATATATATTGGTCGGACACCTACAAGAGCCTGGGGTATACTTTGCGAGCAAACCTCTCGCTAAGGGCATTTGCGCGCAAAGCAGCATGAAGACCATGTCGCGTAAGTTTCACAACCCCTTACGGGCTTTGCGCGCAAACTTACAGCACCGGCAGGCTGGCGCCACGTCAGCTCCGCTCGTCCCTGGCAAGCTTGGCTACGGTAAATGAACCACGACGTTCAAGAAACGGCGCAGAGCAAGAGAGCCGAATAATGTGGACAGTTCTCATCATCCTCGGTAGTGATACTGTGCTCTAGTGCTTTTCCCACTTGGTATCCCGGTCTCATAGCCCACGGAATCTATTGGTCGAACATTAGACGCGTTAGCCTCCTGACTCGAACTCGGAGCTCCCTCAGGCTAGAGTCGCTCAAACCAATTGTCACTCTGTTCTGTCAAGCCATGACCTCACCTTGTACGACTCCCGAGTTTGGAGACACACTTTTCGAGGACATCTTGTGGCGTACATCAACCGATGTCGAGGCATTAGATTCCTTATTCCTGGAAGGTGTAAACCCTGGTCCTAGTACTGACTTCGGCGTCGATAATGAGGTGCGTGCTGCCATACAATCTACCGCCACCACACTAATAGTCGCTTCTCCAAGCAGAGCTGGCTCACAAGATCGTCACAGGTTCATCCCGAAGACAACTCGAACGTTGATACAGAGAAGCTCCTCTTGGCATACCTCTCGTCCGAATCTCTGGATTCTGTCCCTATCGATGGACCCTCACGCAACACTTCATCGCTTAGCCAGGATGTTGAATCATTCCCGAATACAAGTGGATGGGAACTCGCCCCAATTCTACCGTCGCAAACACCTGGTGAGTATGATGCGATGTTCAATGTCTCAAACTCTCACTGACGACCGACCACTTGCATGACGCAATTTTGCAGACATCACATCTTTGTTCACTCCTGATTGGTTCGAGACAGAGCAACAGATACACCCTATCGCCTCTTCATCGTACCTCGAAACCGTCACATCCTACGATTCTTTGACGTTGACGACTTCCACATCAAGCCTGTCCAATCTCCCCCCTTCCCATGCCACCCCCTCATCATCAAATTCTACAGATCTCGAGGCAGAACCATCCAGTTTCTCGACAGAAGATGCCCGGTGGGCTGCAGTCCTCTCCCGCGACCATCTCGCAAATAACCACTTCCTCTACTGCGTACTCTCCACTTCCATATTCTGTCGTCCAACATGCCCCTCCAGGCGACCCTCCCGGGATAACGTCGCGTTCGTGCTTACGCCTCTACAAGCTCATGCTCTGGGATGTCGGCCATGTAAGAGGTGCGATCCGGAAGGTGGAGCAGATCCTACGGTCAAAAGGCAAGAGGAGATCGTGGATAAACTGAAGGTTGCACTTCTCAGAGAGGCGCCGACCAGTAGTGATGGCGGAAGAATGAGGGAGGTCGGAGCAGGGGATAGTAGAGTTACGGTGAAGAAGGTCGCTGAGGAAATTGGGGTTAGCATGTGGCATTTGAATCGGTTGTTCAAGAAGATCGTGGGGTGCCCTCCACAAACTTGGGCCCGGGATCAAAAGAAGACGAAGAAGAAAGTCGTTCGATAGAGTACTGTGTGTTCGTATTACATTCATCCTGACCTCGACATTGGGAACGGTCAAAAGTGTGACATGTTTCTTCGCACTATGCCACAGATGCCAATAAAAGTATGCTAGTATGATAACGTACTCAACCACTTCCTTCACACGAAAACATGTATATCCCGCCCTGAGAAAAAAATGCATCCAAACCCCTTCCTCTAATCACTTGCTCAGCGTCATCCTCCGTGCGCGATACTTCGGCGGACTAAGTGGCACCCTAGGCGCAGTCCCATCCGTATACTCAACCGGACCCGCTCCATCCTTCGATGTCGGCCGCGAAGACCCCTCCGAAGGACCAGAAGAAGAATCGTTCGAAAACATCGATGCGAGCATAGATTTCGGAACGATGTGCTTCTCCAGAGTGCCAGGCGTCGCCGCCACGAGACGGCTCACCGGGTGGCGAGGATGAGATTGTGCTCTCGAGGAACAGCTGGAAGACCGGGAACGCGAATAGGAGGTCATGACAGGTTGATTGGCTGAGAGTCTCTTGAGTGTAGATTGAGCTTGAATGAACATGTTCGCGTCCCAGGAGGTCGTGGGCTTCATCTCTGGGGACCTGATCAAAGCGAGGTCCTTCTCCAGCCCCCCGGAAGCCACCTTGGTGGTGGCCTGCGACTTTGCTCTCCTATGACCCATCAAGAAACTCTTCCTCTTCAGGATCGTAGGGAGTCCATCGGGAACAGAGGGTGGCCTTTGAGCTGAGAGACGACGATGCGGCGAAGCCGGTACGGGAGGTGGTGCTGGGACTTCGACGCGCTCCGCGGTCAACTTGGCCACCAGGCTCTTCTTGATCATGCGCTTGAATCCTATCTTCTTCTTGTGCGAGGCATGTAATAGTCCGGGCGAACAAGAGAACAGGAGTGGCGTGAAGGTCTTCTCTCCGGGAACAAGCTTGCCTTTGTCGGTACGTTTGTCGCCGACGAAATAGTCCAGTTTCCAATTCAGCGTCGTTTGAGACTCGAGAGCACTGGTGGGATCGCGTTCGGATAGATCAAAGTGGAAGGGAGAATGCGAGTGAGATGATTCGGTGCCATGGACGGTGTACACTCCGTTCGCCTTCAAAGTGAGCGTTGCCTGCTTGGAGATATAGTCGTGGCTGTCGTCGCCTTTCATGGTCAGCCTGCGCAGAATAGGAGCAGGTTCTAGCGCCGCATGATGAAAGGCGAAGACCTCTCGTTTGAGTGGCATGAAGTCCGCTTGGCCTGAGCAAAGATGGTGGCTCATGCTGAACGCCACATCATCGTCCGCATCTCGAGGCCCAGAGTACCCTGCCAGTCGGAACGACGGTCGAGCAGCGCGGTAACCTTCTTGATCGAAAGTCAGCTCGATAACAGTCTCCTTGAGCCAGCCCAAAGATACCGGAAGAGACTGTCGATGCGAGCCTGACTTGTCGACTATAGGCGCTGCAGGAACGGGCGGAGCTTGAGATAGACCTCGACGAGGGCTTTGACTAGCAGAGACAGAGGACAGGGCGGATTGCACAGATGCGACAGTGGCATTAGAACCTCCTCGCGGGCGGCCTCGCCACTTCGCTTTCGGAGATACGATAGGACTGGAAGCTCGAGGTATAGGTGGAGGCGAGAGAGGCTGAGCTTCAGATGGGGCGTGCTGACCCGTGTTAGAGGGAACGACGCCAGGAGTAGTCACACGGTGTAGCTTCTTGTTCAACGAAGAACGCAGTCGAGACCTGAGAGGCATATGCTGAGAGACATAGCTGTCGGAGGTAGGTATGTTGTAATCCAAGATATCTTCTGACAGAGGAGTCAACCCTGGTGTTGGAAAAGTGAGGCTTGAGGGCGGAGGCGTTATGAGAGGCGCATCTGTTCGCGAAGATAGAATCCCTTCCAGCGACCCGCTCGCCATGATACGCTCGCAGAATGAAGGGTATGTTTCGAGGCTTCCGATACTCCGCGCTGAGGGACAAAGTGACTGTCGACGAGGGGAGCTAGGTCTTGGAGATGGTATAGGCAGATCTTCGACATCTGTAGTACTGTCCATAGTCCTAGAGCCTGCCTTCTCCAGGTTTCCCGCTGAGTAGCCAGTGTCGAGCACTCCATGGGAAGAGTTACGTCTAGAGTCCTCTATATGCTCTACTTCCCCCTGTCTTAAAACTCCTCCAGGCCTACCAAATGTCCCACCCGTCCCAGCAGTTCCCGGCGTGCTAGGTCTAGTCTCCCGTTCCCACTGCAATTGATGTTTCGAGCCAAAAGATGCGAGCGAGCAAAGTGAGTTCACCGAGCCAAAGCTGAGAGAGACCTTGACCCCAGAGTGAAGAAAGATGGGTATTTCGCCCGAGCTGCAGAGTGTTGCGAGGTCACGAATGTTGATATCCGGTGAAGGTGGAGAAAGTGTGTTGAGAGCACAGAGGACCGAGTCGAAGTTGGGTAACGAATGAGAGGAAGGCAAGCTAGTACACATTGTGAGTAGGATAGAGATGTGTGTAGAAACGGTAGTGAAGACAGGTGTATACTACACTGTATAGGATGTGGTCAAGTCGATGTTGGCATTCGAAGCCGCGGCGCGTCAACAACGCGTCAACGCCACACTTTGTCCTTCCTTCCGGAGCCGGCGGCCCCGCCGTCACCTCCATAGAGCCACTCGCTCTTTCTACTCTCGAGTATTTCTTTTGTGGCAAGACGAGAACACCGAGCTCTATCATAATTACGGCTAATAATTAATGGGATGGTATAGCGTCCTTTTAGTTATTAAAGTACTTCTCAGGCAGCGCGTGCCCTAGTCAACTCCTTGATCTTCTTCTCCACTCTTTCCCTATTCCTCAACAAGCAATAATCGCCAAACTTGTTCATCTTTTGCCAGTTCTCTCCGGGAAGCCACAACGTCCTGGTCAACAACGACGAATGACGGGCGTCGAGGAAGGGAAGACACGAGACGCGGTCCCAGGTCTTCTCGTCGACAGCGTACCGTGGTTCGTACAAGGAGGTGATTGGATCGTGAGGGTAATCGAGGTCGATAAGATAGTCGCAAGTTGAGGCGTTGACCTAGAGTGACACTTGATGAGTAAAGCAAGCGGTATAGTTTGAATCGGCACCTACGTAATGCATATGTTCTTCCTTGTTCAGATCGTTCAACCCTGGAGGCACAACGCTGGTGCCACGAGCTCGGTCAAAGAAGCCACCTTCCGTTACCGTGAAGTGAGCGGGCAACTGTCCATCGAACTCGCTCTTGATCCAGTCTACCCTCACACCATCCGGAACGAGATAGTGACCAGGGAACCGATACCACTCCTTTCCAACGCAAAGTCTTAAATCGAACTCCTTGATCGGTCCCAGATCGATAGGCGGCCGTTCTTCCTCACGAGACGTCTCAGCTCTTCTAATTTCTTCTGGAGATCGCATGTGAAGAGGGGGTAGAAGTGGTTGGGGAAGGAGGTTCGTGGTGTTGAGAAGGTGAGGGATCTCCTCGTGCTCGAAGTGATAGACGATGGTCATAGGAGTATGGTAGTACTTCCAAAGGGCAAGGATACGAGCGAGGGAGATTATGGCCGTAAACACGATAACTGACAACGTCGAAAGACGGAATATGGAGGTCTTCGAGGCCTATGTAACGGATGTAGCAGAGTTCAGTCAAAGTGTTCATTCGAATGTAGCAGGAGACATGCTTACCCTATACGGAGATTTCGTGATCTTGACGAACGCCACTTCTAACCAACCCCTCATCAAATACACTGATACGGCAGCATTGAAGCATATCAACGGATATACGGGGAACATGAACCTCTCCTCCTTGTGCGGCTGAATATTCAGGATGACCATCCAGATGTACATAGGCATTAATCTGAAAGCCAGGACCGTGAAAGGCGACGAATTTTCGGGTCCGCTCTGTTGAAAGCCCAACCGGCGACGATCGATGCGAGAAGTCACGAAGAGGGCAGGTAGAGAGAGGAGAGCCAGCGGGAGCAGAATATTGAAGTTTAGCAGAAGGTTCAAAACATAAAAGGTCCAAGGTTCGGTTCCGTAAAGTTCGGGACCACGAGCAGCATCAGGGAAGACGTTGTACTTGACGATATTCCAAGGCACTGCGACAATTTTTCCGTAGAAGAACGTGTCGATGACGATAACAGGAACCTGCAAACATACCATTAGAACGTTGATTTGACGTGATGCTTTGAGACTTACAGCAACCTGGGCAGCAGCCGCGCCGCAAAGTAAAAGTCTTGTCCACCGGTTGACGATCCAGGAGCCGTACTGGTCGGCGCGAACACGATCGCCTGCATATAAGAAGAGCTCTTCAAGAACAAACGGAATGGCGACAGCTAGCGCAAAAGGCCACCCTACGATGGCTCCGGTAGCAAACAGAAGTGTGGCGGCAAGTGTGCGTTTGCCATCCGCCTGATTCGATGGGACGAACGCATAGGAGCAAGCCAGCGTGACGGCGTACATGGCGAAGGACGATGGCAGAAAGGCTAGTGTGTGGGTTAACATGAAATAACAGGAATGTAGAGTATACGTGAGACACATACCTATCGATGCGTTCCACATGCCAGCGCTAGTAGCCATCATAAACAACAAATAACGAGCTACGCGGTTGTTGATCTTCTCCTTGACTGTGTTGTATAAGCTGGCTTCGCACACGCTCGAAATGACAGCTAGGAAGGTTCGGACGGCGAAGAATGCCGGTCTCTGCGAAAACATTATGAGATCAGAATAAACGATATAAACAAACGCGTTACGCACCTTGCCTGTCTCATGGATAACTACATTTAGGACTCTCGCAGGGACGTAGTGCAGAATGATGTATGCCCAACTCCGAATGGCGTATGCAGGTGATGTTTCCCATGTCTGAAAGCCGTAACCCCTGTCCAGATAATGCAGAGGCTCCCAGAAATTGAAAACTGGAGGGGACTATTACAGACGTGGTATTTGGGATAAACAGAGGCATCCGTACCTTCGTCACAATCCTGAATGTTGCCCCACATGGCTGCGCTTACTCTGATGAGCAGGAGGATGCGGATAGCGAGCGAAAAGCTCGGACACCATGGTGGTCGTGCAGTTCTAAAGTATCGAGTTTAGAAATAGACAGATGAGGGCACAAGAACGCGTCCACCTCCGGAGTTGATCCTGTAGAATCCCTGTATGCCGCAACTTCGGAGGGGCTGCTGGTTTTGGGTTCTCATCCGGGCGGCGGAGCCGCAGCGTCTCGTAAGTAGCCATAGCTAAACAGAATATAGTATCAGAGCCGAGGAATACTGCAATAATAAAGGGGAACAGACCAAACCGCTACAGTTATCTTCGGAATGCCAGCGAGGAGAGTGGAGGAAGAGCAACGCTCCGAAGGTCGGCGTTCAGACATCGGACGCGTTCGTGTTCACGTGGCGACGCGCCCCGCGTGGCGCTTCAGTGTGATGTGGCCCACGAAATTGTGTTCTCTCCCTCTCTTTCTCTGTCCGTTGGTGGTCGAACGGGAGCTGCGTATTCTACCGACTCTCTCATGCTAACGGCTCAAAATCGCCTCACTTGGAACAACATCTTCCTTGATTTGAGCAGAATTGAACTGGCTCTTCTGGAACTGGCGTTGGCACTCTGTCTGGAGCCTCATGGAAGGACACCGTGACTTTGCGACGACGCTGATAGAAGCTGCTGACCGGTATCTGGACTGTCCTTTCTTTCGACATAAAGTAAGCTATTCGAAATATACTGGACAGCAGATGCTCTGAGATGGAAGGGACGTGAGCACTTTTTCAATGATGGGAGAGTAAGACAGACAGTTACGATTCTGATCTGAACGGAACAACGGGTGCGACGTTCATTCCATGACTGGAATTGAACTGAACTCGTTGATTAGAATGGAGTTTTTTTTTCGAGCTGGTGCATATGCTATGGTTTCGAACCTTCCTGTCTTATTGTTCTCCATTTCTGGGCAGGAATATACCCACTGGCATCGCCATACAGAGTTCGACTACGACCCAGTCAAGCTAGACCCACGCCAGTGATATGTGTCGGCAACTTGTCGTATCTCACTCTTCTTGACCTTAACTCTAAACGCCTCCAACGTTTTTCATCCAGTTACAGGTGGATCGCCGGACGTTCTTTACTCGCCGGCAGTGTCGGTCCATGCTGTCCAATACGAATCTTTCTCTCTCAAAAATGGACTAGCCCGGTGCGAACGAATCACCTCCATGACCTTCAAAAACATCACGGTGACCAAGGACGATGGCCGCGTCGCCCTCAAGTCCACAGCCAGCTCCATAACAGCCCCCGACGTCTTCTGCCTCTGTCGGGTCACTCGGAGCTGGGTAGGGTTCTACGGGCATGTTGGGCGTCTAAAATGGCCAAACCAAATGGCCGAACTCCTATTATGATTCTAAACCCAATTATCCATCCAGGTAGAGTAAAACAACATTTTGACGCCACCATGATGAATTACGCGCGAAGGCCGTCGGTATCAAGCTTTACGGGGGCGGTTCCTCTCACGGTGTAGTCACGGTCAAGGGCACTACCTTCGAGAAGGTCGTAGTGTAGGACCGTGACACTACACGGCCCAGGCTGAAAATCACTGCGAGTACTCCGAGGACGACAACTGTATCGCGAGTTCTAGCACCATCGCCAATGTCTACCTTAAAAGCTTCTCGTGTACATCGTGCGTCTTTCTTGTCCTTCAACTCCGCCCTCGCGTACCTGAGGTGGCCCGAGCGCTGACGGTCGCTTTTATGTCGGATGATATGTTTGGCCCCCGGCGTTCTTTCGATTCCTTCAGGTCCAGCACATATAGCCCTATCACAGTGGCGAACTTGAATAGTCCATTTCCACTCCACGAATTCCAAGGTTTTCGATCTTACGGGGCCTCACAGGTTCTCAGACGCTCGAATATCGGTGACTCGAGTGACTTAGGTCTAATCTAACATGCAGGTAAGTGCACGGTGGCGGCCCCTCCCTATAATCACACGCATCGTGGCGCCGTGTCCATTTTGTCATTGGATGATGCTGACTCCTTCGAATTTGCATCTTGTCTACGAATCTAGCTCTAGGCCTACGTGACTAGCGGACCGCCCACTGATGGCCACATACACCGTGTCAACCGGATTTCAACGACCGCTGTAAGGTTAGACGGACGATACGACTGCTGTGTGACGCGTGTAGGGGCTTTGCACGCAATTTGCACTTCTCTTTGACCCCGGCTATCCATTTACAGCGAGAATAACAATTTGATCGTGTGAGAGTTGCCGTACGTGGGTGTGCATGAGGACTCTTGTTTGTCTCAATTTCATCGAGAACCAAGGGATGAGAATGTCCGAATGGAAGGCGGCGATGGACAAACCCTGTCGTCACATGCGTGCTCTCGGGAAGCATGCGACAATTCGAGGATAGCTTCGTCCTCGTGCGCTTCAAGTGTCTGCCACAGGCGGGTATTGGTGTCTTTTGTGGTATCGTCCGAGCCACTCGAACATGCTTCTCCGATGAAGCCCAGATTACAGCACTACAGCTGTACGCTTGTCGAATCCTGTAAACCGGTGGCGGCTGATATGGACACAAAAGACCCGGGTTGCTGTTAAGGCGCGCCACTGGTGGGTTGTGAAGTGCATTAGTCGAACAGCATTTCTATGGCAGCGAAGTTTTTTTGTAGATTCCTTGTCAAGCACTATCTTTGCTTTGGACCCTGTGAAGTGAGGGAGCGTTGTTGTGAGATGCGTGCAGCGTTGTGGCCGAAAGAGGACGTGTGCGGTGCAGAGATCAGGCCCAGATCGGGGCGTCGGATCTAATAAGCACAATAACTGCTTCGATGCACTCGCCACTTCAGTGACGGCTGGACCCACAAGGTCAACGCGCTTATATTATGGGCTCAAGAAGAAAGTGGTAGACAGATCACCTACACCCCAACACTCCCACTTCCCACGAAATTCACTCCTTCATACCATGTCCCGCCTCGACGCCATCCTCAATCCCGAAGTCAGACAGCCTTCGGGAATTCCAAGGTAGGCATCTTCCCGCGGTTGTTGACTCCCACCGCCCAGCCTTATCCTTACCCTGCGACGTAACCCTTTTGATCTCCCTTTGTGGCATGTTGTGACCTGCACGCCGCGATGCTAATACCGCCCTTCGCCCCTAAAAGCCCAGATTCCTCTACATCGAGCGTGAGCGCATCGTTCGAGCCCATACACTACGTCCCTCGTCCTTCAATGGAGGAGAAAACGCACGAGCATCCAGAGCACCCCGATTGTCCAGATACCCTTGCCTGTCTCCCAGATACCGATGCCAGGCCCCAGCATACCTTGCCCGTCATCCTGCGCTGTGCGATTATGGGATCCAAGAAGAAACGTTTGACTATCCGCGAGATTTATGCCGCCATGGAGGAGAAGTATCCCTACTACCGCACGGCAGGTATCACATGGAAGGTAAGCCGCTGTCCCTTTGTTCTTTTTGCATCGACCGTGTACGTCATTTAATACCTGGTGGGCCTACTCTAGCAATCCGTTCGCCACCATCTGTCTCTCAACCGCCTTTTCGAGCGCCAGCCCCGCCCCGTTACCGATCCTGGGTTTGGTTCATATTGGACCGTCAACCTCGATGCTCCTCCTGGGACTAAGCGTCCTCGCAAGCGCGGCCGCCCTCTCGAAGAGGGAGAGGAGGCTCCTCCCCCCAAGAAACGCGGTCGTCCACGCAAGGTTCCTCTCCCCGAACAAACGCAGCCCGTCGCCTCACACAGTATGGATCACCCTCCCATCGCGACGCTCTCATTACCAGGCGCTCGGACGCCGTCTCACCAAGGCTACACGGGCCCTCCTAGCTCGTGCGGGCGCTACGCGGAGGATGAGGACGAGATGTTGTTCGATGATGCTAGTAGGCGTACCGACGATGATTATGAGAGCGAGGAGGATATGCCCCATCACCAATACCGACCCACCAGTCCCCCCAATTTCCAACTTAGACCTGTTTCGAATCACGGTCCTAGCTCGCATGGCGCACGGGTGTTGGCGCATAGCATGTCGCGACTCGTGACGGACGCGCCTGAGAACACGATCGACAAGCTTCGGATCGAGATGGCCACGCTCAGGAAGCAGGCGAATGACGCGCTCTCCATGTCGATCAGTGCGACGGACCAGTTGTCGCAGGCCCACGCCGAGTGCAGTCGAGCAAAAGCTCAGTTGAAGTTGGCAGAAAACATGTTGGAGGACGAGGCGAGGAAACGGAGAGAGGCAGAGAGGATCGCAGACGAGGAGATCAGGAGGAGGAGAGTACTGGAAGCAGAGATTGACAGGTACAGGCATCATCTGAAGTCTCCAGATGTGGAGTCGGAGGACGAAGATTAGGGATCCGTTTATCCCTTGGAGGAGAAGCTTTTCGAGCGTGCAATGGACTCGATATCGACCTTCGTTTTTCTCCTATTATTTTTGCCTTTACAGTAGGAGAGTTGTACTCTGGGAAGACCGTGGGTGCATTCTGACACTGGCCTCATTGAAGTCTCGTTCGCATTTTACTGTGTAGCTATGATTCGTGACTATGTGTATGGGACTATGTTATGCTCAACCTTACCTGTCGAGCGCAATAACAAGCATTGATCGTTTGTGGCTACAGTAAGTGACCCTTGAGGGTGACTAGAATAGACAAGAAGGTTGATCTAAAGAGCCTGTGCGGTGGGATGATATGGACGTCAGTTGACACGTGTGGGCGCTCCTTTTCAATGACGGGTGTGTAAAAGAAAATACTAACACCCACATGTACAAAGAAGACCAAACACCGCTAGAAATTTCGCTCGCCACACTTCTCTTGATTGCTACCCCCGGCCTGTGCGCCGTATCTCGTCCTGTTAACTTTCTGGTGGGGAAAACTGCCATAGGATATCAAAACCTTGCCATGGCTTTCCAATCGTCTCGTGGAAAGCTGAAAACCGCGTATGTCACCGTTCGCCTTGTATACAAATTTCTCACTTGCTTGACTGATGTTCCACAAGTTAGTTTCAAAAAAGGCCGAGTAATCGCTCCATTATACACCGGTGGCGCCGTCTCAGCCAGTCATGACGGTCGCATGCTAGTGACTTGTGTGGGGGAGGAGGCTATTCTGACCGATATTGAACAAGGGATACAAATTGCACGGTTTACTGGCGTGCGTTTCTTCGAACTCTCTCATCTTCTTTCTCTGACTGACCTCCAATGTCATGATACTTTCAGGACGGCGAATCCATCACTTCATTATGTATATCACCCTCCGACCTCACTCTCGTCATTTTCACCTCTTCCATGTCCCTCCGCATATACGACCTCCCCAAAACGACCTCCGATCCCTCGAAAGCCATCAACCCAAAACGTGTGGTCACTCGCGCACACGACGCACCAGTTCACGTCTGCACCTTTGACCCAACCTCCACCTACCTCGCCTCAGGATCTGCAGACGGAATCGTCAAAGTCTGGGATGTTTCCCGAGGATTCACGACCCATGTCCTTCGGGGCCACGGTGGCGTCGTCTCTGCTCTGAAATTTTCGTATCCCATCTCCGCAGGGTCCGTGGAGGAGAGAGAGATGAAGCTGGTGACCGCCTCCGTGGATACGAAGGTCAGGGTGTGGAACCTTAGTAAGACGGCAGCGGAGATGAAGAAGGGGAAACAGGTGAAGCCAGAGCACGTTTTAGAGGGACATGTGAGCGTGCCGAGGGGTGTGGACGTGAGTTCGGACGGGAGATGGTTGGTTTCTGGTGGCAGAGATGCTGTGGTCCTTGTTTGGGATCTCGCTGCGGCCGTGAAGAAGGGGAGTAAGGGGAAGGAGAAAGCATCATCTGAGCCGGTGTTGGTCAAGACGGTCACTACCGTGGAGAGGGTCGAGGCATGCGGGCTTTTGTCAGAGGATGCTGAAGTCGCGGGAGAGGAAAGTGGTAAAGGCAGCATCAGATTCTTTACCGCCGGCGAGAAAGGTATGGTGAAGGTGTGGAATGGTAAAACCGGCAAAGAACTGGCGAGGTTCGGGGAGGACACTGCTCCAGTGGCTTCGTCCTCGGCTGGCAATGCCGAAGAACAGGAGGAACAAAGACAGGTCGTGGATGCTATGTACGTGTTCGGCGTTCGATAGGTGGTCTTTCGGCCAAAATCGTTGACATTTTTATTACAGATACATCGCCGACGCGAACACTGTCATTTCCATACACGCCGACCAGAATATTCTGTACCACTCACTATCATCTTCGACGGTCTCCCGCCAGCTCGTCGGCTTCAACGACGAGATCATCGATGCCGCATTCCTTCATTCGCCTTCATCTGCGCCATCGCCATCGACCTCCCACGACACACACATCGTTCTCGCGACTAACTCTTCCCTCATCCGTCTTTACTCTTCCCACACTCTCGACGCACGCCTCCTCTCTGGCCACGCCGACATCGTCCTTTGCCTGTCCACTTCTCCCGGCCGAGAAGTCTTCGCCAGCGGAGGCAAGGACCGTACCGCACGAATATGGGCTCCCCGTTCATCTTCCTCAACGGCTCCTGACGGCTGGGGTTGGGAGTGTGTAGCTATATGCGAAGGCCATGCTGAGTCCGTTGGTGCGCTGTCATTCTCCCGACAAGGACCAGCCTCGGACGAAGAGGCCCCGAAACTGAAATTCATGTTCACGGCCTCCCAGGATCGAACGATCAAAATGTGGGACCTTTCTTCCGTCGCCACCTCGGCCACTTCTACTCAATCGCCCACAAAATGCAAAAGCCTGTGTACCCAAAAGGCACACGATAAGGACATCAACGCTTTGGATGTTTCGCCCAACGATCTGCTCGTCGCTTCCGGCTCCCAGGATCGTACAGCCAAAGTTTTCTCTATCGTTTACTCGTCGTCGTCATCGGCTGGTGCCCGAGGCGAGCTCAAGCTTCTTGGGACGTGCAAAGGGCACAAACGTGGCGTATGGAGCGTTCGGTTTGCTAAGGGGGAGAGGGTATTGGCCACGGGCAGTGGCGATCGGACTATCAGGCTATGGGGTCTAGAGGACTTCAGTTGTTTGAGGGTTTTGGAAGGTCACAGCAACTCCGTGCTTCGTGTCGACTGGCTGTCGCCGCCTGCAGAAGGTCGTACTCATGGACAGGGCCCAGAACAACTTGTGAGCAGCGCTTCCGACGGCTTGGTCAAGGTATGGGATACACGACAGGAAGAATGTGTGGCGACGTTGGATGGGCATGAAGACAAGGTGAGGTCGATCTCCTCGACGTACAGCCAATGCTTTCTCTGACCGTTGTATCCAAACTATCACCTTCTTCTCCAGGTTTGGGCACTGGCTATCAGCTCTGATAATCGCAGAATCGTCTCGGGTGCTGCGGACTCTGTCGTCACATTCTGGGAGGACTGCACCCAGGAAGTAGAGGAGGCACGAGAGAAGGAGCGAGAAGAGGGCGTTCTGAAGTACGTTCACTATCAAATTCTCGGTAGCGCGCCATTGCCGTCACACATCACTTACAGTCTGTAATCCAGGGAACAAGAACTGCAGAACTACGTTGCTGTGAACGATTATCATCGGGCCATCACCCTCGCTCTTTCGCTCGCGCATCCCGGAAGGCTGTACAACCTCTTCAAGGTCCTTTCTTCCGATGAAAATAATGAAGGCGGTATGTTGTTCATCTCGCAACTACACCAACCACCTTGGTTTGATTCTTAACATGCATCTCTCGTCAGATGGGTCCATTTTAGGCTCACAGGCTGTAGACGAGGTGATCCGAACACTCCACTATTCCGAGCTGGCCAAGCTCCTCAAATACGTCCGGGACTGGAATGCGAAAGCCAGTAGCTCGGCTGTTGCCCAAAGAGTCCTGCACGCCATCGTGAAACTTCGTTCCCCGGAGGAAGTTATCAAAGCATTGGCACCATCGACCTTTGATAACGCAATCGTCGACGTTGATGACGCTGCTGTCGATGGGTCAGCCGTGGCGAAAGGCGCGAAGAAGGTGCAGGGCGTCGATGGGAAGGAAGTGGTGGAGGGTTTGATCGCGTACACGGAGCGGCATCTGAAGAGGATGGAGCGGTTAGTGCAGGAGAGCTATGTGTTGGATTTCATTGTTGGGGAGATGGATGATGGGCTTTTGGACGATGGCGTGGACGTCATGGACGTCGATTCAGATTCAGACTCGTCATAAAAGGTCGATTTGAATAATTGGACGTTGTAGGCTTCGCACCGTGCGTGTAACATGCTGTCAACTTCTGATATTCCCTTTCCGATCCTAATTCTGTTGTCTGTTCAGACTACGCACTCTATTCTACCTGTTTGTTGTTGTCTTGGCCAGCAATATGTCCCTGAATTCGAGATAACGAGAGTTGAATATGGGGACCTACCACCTTATCCGTCCGTTTGCTGCCCAGCTATCCAAGACTTCGTGGATTTGGCAGTGAACTCAAGAAGCCCGTTGCTCGCCGAGTGTTATCTTCTGCACTAACAGTCTCAAACCTACAGACATTCTGAATGTGTCGTATACTGCCACTCCTCTACATCGTGAACTAGTTGGCAGTAGTTTCCTCAAATCCACATAGCGTATTTTCCCTCCGCGGATCGAATTGAAAAAGGCTCCACCCACAGTCTCACCAAAGTCAAGATCCGGCACTGGGTCCCTGAAACGTCAACCCAATCTCACTCACATCTCAGCGACGTGGGCACAAGACTCTTGGGACCATGTCAGCTTTTTTCGGTCAAGGACTCCGAGGAGTCCAATTGCAAGTCCCTCATCCTCCGCGATTGGCTCCCTCTACCTCGACAGGTCATTGAGAGCATCGAGCCCAATGGGAAACGGCAAAAGACTACAATCTGTCTGCTCCGTGGTCATGGTAGGCACCACGGCCTCGGAGATACGTCCATTGCATACTCGGGGTAGTGGCGGTGAGGTCCGTCAGTGGCGAGACCAAGCAGAATCAGGACTAAGGACCTGATTCAGATCCGGGCAGACCACGGGTCTGGTCTTGGGTGCCACATTCCAAGCTCGATCATCGACTCTTCGTTTGAATGGAATCAACGGACAGCAATATAGGACTAACCTAAACCGGCACCGTCAATCGCGTCGTCCGAGGGCATAGATGATGAAAGTGACATGATTTGTCGGAGACGCCGCGCGAGCGGTGACGGTGAGTACGACTCGAGGGCCTGACTTACCTGGTGAGGTCGCCGCGAGTGGCTATCCGTTAGAATCGCACCGCTAGCATTCAGAGAAACGTCTGGGGACGGCTTTCGATTCATTCTTGAGTTACAGGATATACTCGTACACAGAAAGGGAGATATTTGGTCATGGTACAAGTACAAAGAGAAAGCCTTTGGGCGTCTACATAAGAAAGCGAAGTTTCATACTGTTACAGGAAGAAGGATGGATGGAAGATTTGGCAAAGGAAGGGACTTTGTTATGCTGCACGGAAGATGAAAAACGAAGACGTACAACAGATCGTACAGATTTACGAAGGGCAGGGGGGAAGATGAGACAGTTGGAGGTCGTGAAGTGACTCGAAAAAAAAGCTCGTGAGCTCATGAGGTGGCGATGAACATCGATCGTGAAATAAAGAGAAGCGGGTCCAAGAAGAGAAGAGAAGACGGTCAGGAAACAAAATCCGATGATTTGAACAGTTCGAGTGGAGAGATCACATTCAGAGCTCATCTCCAGAGCCGCCAGAGCCTTTATGAACGCGCATGTGCTGACCGAGGTTGTCATGTCGGCTGAAAGCCTTGTCGCAACCTGGCACAGGACATTTATGCGCTGTGGAGTAGTAGATTCCGAAGAAATCAGCATCGCAGGACAGCGGGCGCTAGGAAAATGATTGGTGTAATAGAAGAACAACTTACGCTTTTCATTGGTATGGATCGACCGAACATGGCGTTTCAGATGCTCGCCCCGTGCAAAGCACTTCCCGCAACCCTTCACCTTACAAGCGTAACCCCTCACGTTCTTTTGCACGCCTCCCTGTACAACTAGCACCGGAGAAGTGGGTACCCTCCGACCGCGACTCTTCTTCGTCAAATTCGGCACAGGCGTCGGCGCAGTGAGCTTGTAGACCCGAGGACGCCCAGAGGCGCGGGCTCTCGCTGAAACAGATCGCGAACTGTCGGGAGAGGCTGTGGTGGGTTTTTTCTTGGTGGTTGCCGTGTGTCTATTGCTCGAGCGAGTGACGGGACGACCGCGAGTCCTGTAGCGGGCGGTGGGTACAAAATCCCCGTCCCCATCGTCAGCGTCTTCCGCCTCACTCTCTCCGGCATCTTCCGAATCGGATTCGTGGATGAGGTCGGGAGGGCTGGCGGAGGGGAAGGAAGGGCTGGATAGGGATGCAGCGGTGGAGAAGACAACGTCATCCATGTCTTGAATATCTGGCTCGGCCTTGGCAGCGATTTGCGGATCACCGTCATCCCCGATGGGAGAGACGCTGTGTAGGGATGCAGCCTGAGCTGGCGGTTCGTAATCAGCCGGGATGCGAGGGGTGGAAGACAAGCCAGGAGTCTCCGTTGCAGTAACGAACGGTTCGTCCGGGAGGGCGGCGGTAAAGCTCAAAGCTGCGGGGGCAGACATTGGCATAGCGTACGGCAGGCCAGACATGTCCATATTCGCCCCATCGAAGTAGAAAGGAGTGCCGCTAGGTGGAATCATGGATGAGGTGCGGGATAGAGTCGCAGTTTGGTCGTATGGAGAGAGATAGTCGGAAGGTGCGAAGTCGAAGTAAGACATATCATTTGAGAGCGAGCCCATCATTTCATCTTCGCGCGTGATATCAGGTTGCATTGGCATGGGCATAGTCGCAATCGTCCCGTAAGGATGATCGGCTGGGGTAAAAGGAAAGAATGAAGGGCTTTCGCGCTGAGTGCTAACATGGTTCTTGTCGGACCACGCAGGAGTAAAGCGGTCGAATGCACTCTCGCCATAGACGTAAGAGTCACCGGCATTGCCTTCCAACGGCATAGCGAGTGTTTGTGCCGATGTAAAGCGCGTGCTAGAGAGTCGTGAGAAGGGGTTCGACTGTGGCTTGTAGGAAGGAGGGACGGGCGATGGATGGAACTGGTTGTCGTAGATGGGAGAAGAATGCATATTTGGGCGACTTTCTGAGGAAGGTGTGGCGTCGCGAGAGACATCCCGCGCGGGCATATAAAGCAAAGCGGGGGAAGTTTGGCAGATCGACATCGGGACAGAAATCGATTCGGATCTGGGGACTAGACACTGAATATAGAAGGATAGGGCGCAAGTAAAGCGCAGGCACCACAATGAACGGTGCTCTGGATTTGCTGGGATTGAATATTTTGAATACCGCAGCGGATGCGATCGTGCTTGGACAATACGCAACAGCTGGGTCGGGGATTTTGACGCAGATTCGGAGTCGTCCTGTTGTGATTAAAACGCTGATATAGGCGGAAGAAAAAGATGATGCTGCGGGTCGTAATCTCAGTACCCGAAGGAGCTAGTGAGTTCCCCGTATGTACGCAATCTTTTCTCGAGCGGAAGTGTCGAAACTGATGTTGGATATCGATGCTTCAGCTGCATCGACGACGGTTGCGCAACAGAGTATCAAAGAGAGCGACGCACTACCAAGGGACTTTGTAGGGAGAAAGATGTTGGGGGAACTGTTGTGGTACTGTGCAACCACGATGGAGGAGCGGCGCAGAAGATGGTGGACGTCAGGTTGTCCTTGTTTGTTTGCGCCCATTGCGAATTCGACGCCGCCCCACCGGCTCCATATTTCCATCTCGAATTACAGACTAGGAATGCCGGCTTATACAGTACGTCTGTTGTCTAGTCCCTCTGTGCTCATTTAAAAGTGCTACTCTGCATTTTGTACTTTCGAATTGAAATATTAGTGGTAGGAGCTTGACCAGCGACTCGCAGGTCACGTTTCGGGTGTTTCACGCCGTCCAAGCCCGTGCGCATCACACTATCATTGTCATTCGTCAGGATCCACCGCAATTGCTTTATTTGGCACAAATTGCCAGGTGAAAATCTGGTCTTATCTGAGATCCACGATGTAGCTTTCCATTCTACAAAACCAGGGTACGTTTTGCCCAACGTTCCTCGTGTATTGGTAGTAGCGCTAGACGCTGCTAGAGGAGTCCCGAACAGCCAAGTGCGTCGCGACCATGCTGTATTGAGCTTCAGTTCGTCCAGACAATGGCGTATGTACCAAGAGATTCTACTCTATCTCTTCCGGCGGGACTTGGTTCCATATGATAAATGTGGCGTAGTAAAGACCGGTTAGTAGGTGGCGTACGGACAGTGCGACATTAGTGCCTCTCGTTGAGTCAATCGGCGGGAAACTTTAACTTCGGGACATAGAGCCAAAGTCCAAAAGATAAAACACCGGTCTTGAAATGGGGGTTATTGCGATGGCGTGACGCGCATCCCATCCACGATCCGCGGCCCCACAGGAGGGAGACCTTCAAGAGAGACACAATTTGGCGGTATTGGATCCAATCCGAGATAGCAGTTCGTGTTCCTCAGCAATAAGGAGGGTGTACGGCTTATATGGATAGAGGCCTCGTACGATGGGTAGGTGAGCATTTCGGGCAAGTAGTGGTTCGGGTGAAAGGAAAACCAAGAACTGGGAAGGTTCGGAAGGGAGTTCAGCCCGAAATGGAAGGCGGGCTTCCGTCATGATCCGGTCTTACCAAGTGCCACACCAGCGCCACATTTGGACCACCTCACGACTGAGCACACCCCAAATGACCGTAAAGATCTTTTCATTCAGACAAAAAAAGCGACAACGGCAGTATATACAACACGGGATGCGCAAACCAACGACGATTCGAGAACTCAACACTGAGAAATGACTAGAACATTTGTTTTACTAAAAGACGTGAATGTCAGTCCACGAGGACGAGCCACAACGAACCACGGACCGACCACCACTCTTGAATAAGAGGCCACAAATAAGCAAGGAGCATGAGAGATCAATCATCACACCAAGAAAATGCAAGACAGAGCGAAACACCGTCGTTCTCGTCCTGCTTGAGGATGGTCAACTAGAAGTACACAAAAAAAAAAAAAGAGGGTGAGTGAAAGGTGATTCAGCATCTCAACAAAGAGATCTGAACCATTACTAGTAGGCCGTGAGGACGAAGTATGCATACGAGGACAAGGGGATGGGTGAGGCAAGACAAGAATAAAAAAACAAGAGCGAACGAAAGGAGGCATGCATGTATATTTATGGTGGGGTCCAAGCAGAATCAAGTAATGCAAACGTTGTTCCGTCGTCGTCGACAGCTCACTCATCATCTGAGCTGTCATACAACACGACATACTCCTCCTCAGCCCTTGAAAGCGCGGCCGCACCGTCAGCACCGATTCCCATGTTCAAAGGGCTCAACCTCTCCCTTGAATCCTCGAAGACATCGTCGTCCTCCTCATCCTCCGACGAAGGAATATCAATCATCGACAAATCCGACCCCGCATCGCTCAGCGTGTTCGTCCTAGACGACCTGACCGTCATCGGGGCCGTCGTCGCCTCATCCTGCTGCGCCACATCCGCCGCGTCGACCATTCCCATCCCGGTGGTCATCGTTGAGCTCCGCGACCTCTCAGGCGCCGAATGAGGCATGATCACCGACGACGCCGCCAAACTGTCCTCACCGCTGCCGTCCTCCACACTCAACGCAGACATAGCCCTCTGCGGCTCGGAAACGACGATCTCCACCCAGATCGAATGCCCGAACTGCTTGCCCTGCCCGTCGCTCAACCTCCAATAACCCATGTACCTTCCCGGAATTTCAGGAGCCTTGAGTTCCCCGGTCCATACGTCGACTTCGTCGCCAGGCATCACGGTCCCGACCCTCTTCGACCCGATCTTCCCGCTGCCCATGGAGCCCATCTGATCACCAGCGATGAACACGAGCTTGGTCTCCTGCGGCCACGCCCTCGATCCTTCGTTCTTCATTCTCCAGCTCTTGACGAACTCGGCACCAGGAGGGAAGATCTGACCATCCGGAATGTTGTTGTCCTCGATGAAGGCGGCACGGAAGGGGGTCAGATCAAGATAATCCTCGGATGCAGCGCCCATCACGACGGTTGAGTCGTCGTCGGTGACCATCGACACAGGACGCGAAGCTGACATCGTCATGGAAGGAGCCGCCTCCCTCCGAATGGGAGCAGGAATCTCAGTCGGCCCTAGTTCGGGAAGAGGGGTCGTAAGCACCTCGGGACTGTGAGGCGGGCTCTGCGTCAAGGCATAGAGGTCCGGAGTCGAGCGGCCCGAAGCAGGCTCGACGGGTTCAGCGCTGATAGCCTCGATGATGGTGGGAACCCTCTTGTCGTCGCTGAACGGGTTCAAACTGCGGTTGATCTCGACCTCGACGTCATCGACGTCATGGCTCTTGATTTCCGGGCTGGAAGGTACCTCCAACCCGGTTGGGAACATAGGGAGTTGCTCTGGAACCGGCATCGAGCTTCTGACTTCGGGGGTGAGAGGGACCTCCAACCCAGTCGGGAACATAGGCAATTGCTCTGGAGCCGGCATCGAAGGCGGCAGACGGACCACTGGTGTGGGAGCAGGAGCAGCTGGAACGGGAACATCCCTCACGATCTTGGGGATAGTGACGCCCGGCTCCTTGATCTTGAGCAAGGGGTGGTTGGTAGGATGTTGAGGGATAGGGTGAGCCTCGCAGGAAGCGCAGAGGTCGTAGTCGGGGCAGGAAGCATGCATGCACTACGTGACCGAAAGAAAAGACGGAAGTGACCGTTAGCTAACGCAGTCTTAACTCAGACCGTAAACAAAGGAAGACGAACCTTGTACCTCACACCGACGATGACCTTCGAGCAAACATCACACCTTGCCCTGTGCTTCGGCGGCGTCGACGCAATCCTCGCGCCGAGGCTTCCGAACGGAATGGCCTGCGAGTTCGGATTCTTGTAGTAGACGAGGTCTTTGGGCGAGTTGACGCGGACGAAGGAGTGTCCAGGGTGTTGGATAGGGACGATAGCGAAGCAGGACTTGCAGGTGTCGAAGTCCGGGCAATTGAGGCATTTCTGCCGACAAGGAATAATTAAGTTTATTACATGTGAGTACGGGGACAAAGGAAAGCACCTACCCAACGGATGCCCTTAATCCTAGAATCACACATGTCGCACGTCGCGTTGTGCAAGACCTCGGCTTTCGTAGACGTCGACGCTGCCTCGGGAACGGTGGGAGTGAGGGAAGCAGTGTTCACAGCTGGAGTCGCGACAGGCGCTTCGGTGGCATGCGTGCACCTCGTCGAATGAGTGTGGTCAGCACCAGCGCCACGTTTTTCACCCAACCCAGAGAAGACAGTATGCACATAGACATGACCCGGCTCTTCGATGGCGAAGAATTCGTGGCTGCCGTCGTGCTGGTGGCGTTTGTTGGCATAACACGTTGGACACATGTCGTAATCTGAAATCCCAAAGAAGGGAAGAAAAGAAAACACAAGTTCAGTCGAGTGAGAGAATGAGAGGAAGGGGCAGGAAGACATACCAGGACAATCCAAGCACTTGTTCCTCGTGCCTACGACGGTCTGCTCGCACACATCGCAGATGATGTTCGTGTGAACCTTCGGCTGCGGGTTCTCGAACGCCGAAACAACCACATCTTCGGAAGAGGCAGGCCGAGGGGTGGCCGCAGCCTCACGAACAGGCGGCTCGGGATCCGCGAAGGTATCGCCCATCATCTTGTCGAGGTTCTTGATGAACGAAGTAATCATCTCCTTGACTTCCTCCTTGCCCTTCTTAACGTCGCAGCACTGCTCCTGAGTCTCCTTCTCGACCTCCGCGGGGTTAGTGGAGGGAGCGGAGGCGTTCGAGGGACCTTGAAGAGACTCGAGGAGTTCCGGGTTCAAGGGGACCTTGGGCAGCGGCACAACACGCTGCGGCTTGTCCAACGACCGGCTCCGATACCTCTCCTCCTCCGCCTCGATGCTATCCAACTCTTGCCTCACACTCTCAGGGATGAGGTCCGCGGCAGCTCGCCTGTCCTCCTCGACAGCATCGTGAGCCCTCTCCTTGCCCTTGCCCTTCGAAGAGCCGGAAAAGTCACGATGAATTGCATCTATCGCTTGAGACCTGAGCTTCATCATCGTCACCTTCCTGGCGATATCCCTCACGTCGGCTGCACGCAACGAAGAGGGCGAGGCGGGGGTGGCGGGGTTAGAAGCCGCACCACTCCTTTCGCTAATCGCGGACGTGCGCCCCTGCAGAGCCTTCACCTCCTCCTTGAACTTCTTCATGTTGTCCCTCCTACCCTTGACGATGACATCATCAGTCGTCAAAGAGCGCGTCGACGAAGACCTCTCAGCCCCCTCCGGAAGAGGCCCCAAGATCCTGTCCGAGAGGGCTATAGGCCGTGACGCCGGTTCAGGAAGTTCGCGAGGAACAGGCTTGCGGGAGGTGAAGCTCGGATAAAGCGGAGGAGGACCAGGAGGGGGATACAAGGTCCAGAGGTCACTATGCGGGACATCAGAGTTCCAAGAGTGATCTCCCGCGTGATTATTCGAGGGCGCCCAGCTGACGGGACGAGGCCTAGGAGGTGGAGCTGGTGGCTTCGTCATGTCCGAAGAATACCGGTGAAGAAGATCATCCCTCAAGGTCGAAAGAGACACCTTGGGACGTCTGATGGAGGCGCTGTCCTCGGCGCTAGAGCCCGCGGCTGGCGTAGGTGGGTTACTCGGTTTGACTGATGTAGTGCTATTTCTGGCAGACTTGACATCGTCGTAGGATACACTAGCGTAGCTGGAGGGCCTCGGCGGAGGAGCCGGGCGCTTATGAGTATGCAGAAGTTGCGCCGAGTGTTTCTCGCCCTTGGCTTCGTTGTCGGAGTCGGACTCCCTCGCCAACCAGAAAGGACGCGGAGGGGGCGGTGGCGGTGGGATAGAAAGTCCATCTCTGTCTAGGTATGAAGAACGAGAAGGTGGGTGGGGAAGGTGACGGACGGGAGGTGGAGGTGGAGGGGGGAGCGGAAGTCCGTAATATGCTGATGGAAGAAGGGGGAGGGGCGGTGGGGGAGGACTGACGAACAGCGGGGCTGAGGTGTTCTGATCAGCCTTCCACCATCTACCGTGAGACTGTCGGTTATGGTGGTGATGATGTCTGTGCCTTCGCGCCGTGCTGTCGTCAAGGGGTTCTGCGCCGCTGGAGGTGACTGTGGCATCGTCCTGGGACGGCTGCTGCGCCACAGTATGGTCTACGTCGCTCGACGTGGGAGCGGGCATGATGGTAGCAGGGAGCTTATGAGGAGTCTCGTCAAAGACGGAGAAACGAAGGAGAGCGCCGGGCCACTCTTTGTTACGGTAAGGTTTGATGTGAGAGTTGTACTCTTGCTCGTTGTGAGCTTCCATGCCAATGAGAATGCGAGAGGTAGGATTAGAAGGAGAGGAAGTGAAGAGTAGACGAGAAAGATAGTATGAGTTTGAGATAGGGAAGATACGATACAGCTATATAATATGAACACAAATATATTCGCAAGGAGAGAAGTCCAAGGAGAGGAGTCGTCAGCGGAAAGATAAGGACGAGTAGGGGTGTATACGGGAAAGGAAACGGACCTGCTGATAGAGCTGGTCGTAGGTCGGGAAAGCCGACGACTCTGTGAACGAGAACTTGCGGGTTTCTGAGCGATATGTGGCCTTGATGGTGAACATGGTGAACAGGGAGAAAGGCAGGCGGCGACTGCTTCGACGACGCTGCCGTACTTATACGCCGTGCAGCCCCACGTCACGCCGGCCGGTGCCGAGCTCGGGGCGATGCCGAGAATGCTCCCGTCAGCCGGCTCAGCGCAACTCGTACTCGGACGCGCCATGTCGACATCCGAGCAGACTTACGAGCTCATCACAGCGACCAGACACGACCTCGTCCTGCTCGATGCACAGTGGAACACGGACGCCAACGGGGGGCAGCCGAGCGCGTTCATGCTCCTCCGTCTTCACCATTCCCGTTTCCTTGACGCTGTAGCCATTCACTCTTGGTCAGACGTATCCCTCGCTTGGGAGCACTTTGAACGCGAATGCACTCGCGCAGTAGAGTCATACGACGGTCCAGGAAATGGCGGTCCCTTGAAGGCTCGTCTCACTATGTTTCCTATAAATTGGTCGGTTGGCAGTGACTTATCAGTTTGTGCTACGGACAACAGGTCCGACCCTCCTTCTCCCGCTCCGGAACACTCTCCATTTCAGTCGCACCTGCAGCGCCCTTCGCGCACGATCCCCTCCTCCCCTTTGAAATTACGCACTCCATCGACTCTTTACCGTCACCTCTCCGATCGGCACCGCCTCTTACCCTCTATCTCGACACCGAACCCACGCCTGCCTCTGTCTTCACCCGCACGAAGACCTCGCTACGCACACCCTACACCTCTGCACGCGCCCGATTCTCTCTACCCGCCTTCGGAGGTGACTCAGACGTACTATTATGGTCCGAATGTGCACCTGCGGCTGCGAGTCGAGCTGCGCGTGGTATGACCACGGAGACCACGGTGCGCAACGTCGCTTTTTTCAGAGGCAGGAAATGGGTTACGCCTGCGGAGGGCACGGGCTGTCTCACTGGAGTCATGAGAAGATGGTTAATCGACAGTGGGAAAGTCGTGGTGGATGGGGAGGATGCCAGGAGGAAGGTGCTGTGGAAGGAGAAGATTAAAGATGGGGAGATGGTGCTGGTATTCAATGCAGTGGAGGGATGTCGCTTAGCGGTAGTCAAGCTGAAGAAGCCTTGAAGTTGAGCTCGTTCATGGCATAGCGGAGGTATATTTTTCGCTTGGATATATTGATGTATTATAGGCACCGGATTTGTTGATACCCTAGCACGCTCGTTATTTCGTGTTGTTTCATAGGTTTCGTTGGATGATTGCTCTATAATCTATACTCTACGCTCTATGCTTTATTTCTACTTGATACATCTCTATGATCTATCGGCACATTCCTTGTAATCATACCTATCTAATTCCTACACCTTTGCAATAGCGGGTACAGGTTTACGCAGCAGAGTCCTTGAAGGCGAGACGGAATGTGAGATGAAAGTAGAATTTATCTCGTTCGACGGACATACCTGGTTCTTGACAGGGACGGGCAACTCCTCCCACCTCGTCAGGTTCATCGGCTCAGCGAGGAGCGGGATTACATAGGGACTACAATTAGATCGACACATAACATTCAAGGATTTAGTACCGAGCATAATTGCTGCGGGAATAGAAGGAATAAAGAATGTGAACGCACTCAAAGGTCTTCCAGTACTGGTCATCCACGATCCCACGCCCGTCAAGTACACAGATGATCAATCGACAAGTCAGCCCATCATTGTTATGTATGATGCACCGAATGATATGACGGAGAAGGGTGAAAACGCACAGGGTTTTCGAGATGGTACGTTTGGCTCGCTTCATTCTCGAACCTCTCGACGATCGCGAACTTGGTAGGTTCCTTCGGGTCCTGGTGTACCAGCCACGCCATCGTCTCCTTGTCTATATGATTGTATACACCACAGCAAAAATAAGTCGGTAAAATTATATGAGTTCATCGTAGTAGCTATAATTACGAGAAAAACTTGAAAGGGAAGGGAGGTATGAACGGAATTACTTACCCTTACGATAGACAGAAGCCGCCTCGATGAGCTTCTCCCTCAGCTTTTCAGCATTCTCGAGCGAAGATGCGCGGAGATGGACGATGATGGTGTAGGTCATGGTTTACTAGTACTTTATGTTTTCACTGAGTTAGAACGGTGGTGGTTTGGTGGTGGTCGGTGGAGGGAACGATCCGGAAGAGAAATTGCAATCATATCCGCCTTCACTTCGAGTCCTGACGTCGATGCGATTGTTCGGGGGCGGGTACGGGACTAGCCTGGCCCTGGAACGGAGTGGATGAACGGATATCCGTGCGATGGTCAATGTCGTCGGCGCCACACTTGAAAATGAGAAACGATCACGAAAGGACGTGTGGCACCGATCCCGCGGGTTTACACGAAGAGCCAGAAAAAAGATGAAGGGATTATTCTAGGCTAGAATACGGTACACGTCTCGACTAGCTAGAGTCAGAAGTATTCATTCCATTTCCATGAATTTTACTTGGTCAGTCCGTCCTTAGTACACCGTAGATACCCACCTTCAGCCACTCCATCCTCACTTCTTCTTCTCAGCTTCTCTCTCTTCTATCCTCCTCTTCGCCTCTTCCTGCCGAACAGCTGCCTTCATCTTCCGCTGCCTCTTCTTCCTCCCCGCACCCCTCTTCGGTCCTTCCACAACCACGGGCTCATTGAGTTTCTTCTTCCTCGCAGTGATCTCTTCCGCGCGTTGCTTTTCCCGCTTTTTGTCGCGTTTGCGTAAGAGAGGGTTTAGATGGGATTTGAGGAGGGAGCCGTAGAGGGAGTGAAATTTGGGGAGGGACGTGGAGGAGATCTGAGGAAAGGCGGCATGAGGTGATGAATGGGGAAGGGTAGGAGGACGGTAGGCAGAGTCGAGGGTGGTGATGAGAGCCCGGTATTAGCGATCTGTGTACGTCACGATGTGAACTGTATTCATGAACTTACATGTGTAGAATAGTTGACATCCTTCCCGTTCGTCAGACGGATGAGACAGGGATACTCCTTGTCTTCATCCACAGAATGCATCGTAGCGTCCTCGCCATCATGCGTGACTACACCACAGTACAGCCAGGTCAGTAAAAGACCAAACAAAAGCGTGAATATAATGTCTCTGTAATCAATGAGGATGATCACGCACGTCGTTTATGGGTGAGCCATATCGATCCCTTTTCCTTCGAGGACTCGAATAGCGAGCCCAAATGACTCAGGAACTGGATACCATATCAACCATTAACACCGGCATTTCCATAAGAGCATACACTGGAGTCACAAACGCACGTACGGTGTCGTTGTCGACGAGCTGCATTCGCTCGTCTGTATCGTCCGTTATGGTGGTACAGTACTGTGTTGTAACTTGTGTGGCGCATGGCCCGCCAACATGGCGAGCACGAGGCAAAAGCGGCTTAGTCAGCCCAAGATAAGATAACGCAACTCTTGCTCTTTGATTCGACGTTCCGAGGGCAAGCCCCCGCTGACTGTATTTTTTTTTCTTGTCGTGCTCAGAATTGCTCATGATCTCACCATGGCTTCGACTGACTTTTCATTCCGAATTCATCGGTTTGCCTCTTTCGCACAAAAGGACACAGCGACGGCCATCGTGGTCGACCGTGGCAGCTTTTACTTATCGAAACACTCCAGCTCGACATCACACTTGCTACTCTTAGCGTCGGACTTTGCGCCCTACTAGTTTAACCTCTGAGCTCCGAGTCCTATAAAAATCGTGGACCCATAGTAACTTGGTTCATAACCTGAAAAGCAAACCCAAGACTGTCTACCGGTGCCCAGTCCCACACCATGCAGACGCACCCCTCAGGTCTCGCAGGCCAACTGTCCTCTTCCCTCTTCCCTACGCCCCGACCCGGCGCTTCCCTCTTACTTTCCTTTCGCTCTCCTCGAACCGTTCTTATCATAGGGAGTAACCCACTCGCTGCCATCCGCACCTTCTCTGCGCTCGAGGCCGATGCGCGGGTGGTTATCATGGGCAAGGGAGGTCTAGAGGCTGCTTGTGAAGAGGTTAGGTATCGGGTAGGAAGGGGTGAAGTGGAATATGTCGAGATGTGCGACTCGAACGAAGAGGAAGACTCAGATAAAGTTAGGAAGTTATTGGATAGCAGGCCAGAAGTTAGTTTGGTCTGTGTGACCGATACTGTTATCCCCCCTGCGCCTACAGCCACCCCTCCCCCCTCATCTTCCTCCTCAACATATTTCGCACCACCACAATCACAATCACAATCCCTACGCCGCCCTCAGACCTCCGCCCAATCCCTCTTCAACCTCTGCCGTTCCCGCCACATACCCATAAATGTCACCGACATGCCCGACCTCTGCGATTTCACCTTTGCGTCCACACATCGTTTCGTCGATCCTACGTCTCACGAGGCTACACCGCTCCAAATCGCTGTCGTCACCAACGGGCAAGGCTGTCGGCTCTCCGGACGAATACGACGAGAGATCGTCAGCAAAGTTTCGCCACATGCTGGGACCGCCGTGGTGAAAGTCGGGATACTTCGCAGGCTTGCGAAGGCTGCGAACAGTCAGGCCGGTGGTGCAATTGAGATGGATGGTGAGAAAGGTGCTAACGGAATAGTGGCGGAGGAGGATGAGTTGTGGAACGACGAGGTCAGGGTGGCTACGCCGAACAGGCCTGTGCCGCAGAGGAGCAAGACGGAGGTGGAGACGGAGATGGAGAGCGTACGGAGGAGGATGAAGTGGGTTGCGCAGATGAGCGAGTATTGGAGTTATGCGAAGTTGGCGGCGATGAAGGAGGACGATATGATTCGTCTGCTTAATGATGGCGATGCACTCTCTTCCACTTCTTCCTCTGACCCTTCGACGGTCTCCCGAATCCATCCAGTTTCTACTATCAACCACGCACTAGACGAGTCAGGTAGCAGCGATGCCACCAATTCGTTACATGCTCTCGCCATCCCACCACCACCTCCGAAGGGCAGGATCCTGCTCGTCGGGTCAGGACCAGGCCATCCTGGCTTGTTGACCATGGCGACGCACAACGCACTCACAAAGCACGCCGACCTGGTCCTCTCAGACAAGCTGGTTCCAGAGGCCGTGCTGGCCATCATCCCCGAAGGAGTCGAGGTGAAAATCGCGAGGAAATTCCCCGGCAACGCAGACGGTGCTCAGAATGAGATGATGGAAGCCGCAGTCGAAGCTGCCAATCGCGGTCTTACAGTCGTTCGGGTCAGTACTTTCAATACCTCGTCACTTGTATAGTCCGACGCTGACTTTTCTCTCTACCGTTAATTTATAGCTCAAACAGGGCGATCCGACGGTGTACGGTCGCGCAGGTGAAGAAGTCCTCTATTTCCGCAAACACGGGTTCGAATCCGTTATCATCCCAGGCGTCTCCTCCGCCCTCGCAGGTCCCATCTTCGCCGGTATCCCCGTCACCCAACGCGGTGCCGCCGAATCCTTCATGGTGTGCACTGGCGTGGGCAGACAAGGCAAGGAGGTCAAACTTCCAGGGTACGACCGTAGTCGTACGCTCGTCATCCTCATGGGCGTCGCTCGAATCGACCAAATTCTCTCCACGCTCCTCGATGCCTCTTCCGAGTCACCATCCGCAAAACGTAGATCTGGGCCAGCGTTCCCTAGGAATACGCCGATTGCTATTGTGGAGAGGGCGTCGATGCCGGATCAGAGGGTTATCATGAGTACGCTGGAGAACGTGGCGGTCGCGCTCGAGAGGAGTGGTGAACAGAGGCCACCGGGGATGATCGTGGTCGGTTGGGCGGTTCCCAGTTTGTGGGGAGAGGGTGAGATTACTGTGTTGGATCAAGGGGCGGAGGGACGTGATCAGGAAAGGGTGGAGAAGTGGTTGGGCGGAGAGAATTGGAGGGTTGTCGAAGGATTCGATAATGGGTGGGAAGGGTTGTAGGGAGGATTCAGCCTACTTTTCTTTGATTCTGCATGGTTGATTTGCCCGACGACAAAAGCTTTTTTATTACTTCTGTTTTTGCTAACATTTATCCTACTTGCTGTTGTGCCCTGCATGTCCTCATACTTCTGTACTGTATTTTTATGCGCTATCACCTCACAAGGCCGAAAATCAGGCTCGCCTATGCGTGAATTACGGCGCTGAAGCTAACCATGAAGAGTGGCGTAAGTAAAATCAGTTGATCAATGGTCCAGGTGTGGCCAGACGGAGGCGCGGTCACCAAGGACGTCGTACGCGCCCGCCGGAAGTAGCGTCCCGGATATTCCCGGCCTCGAAAAATCCGAGCTTGAGGACAGCGACGACCGAACGACCACAAACCACACGCCTTCCGACCTCACCCCCTCATCATCGTCCTCTCTCCCCACAATGCGCACCGTCCAGGCTCTCCGTCCCCTTCTCCGCTCCGCCGCCGTCCGCCCCCTCGTCGCGCAACGCGCCCCGCTCGCCCTCGCACAGACCCAAACCCGTCTGTACTCTGCCCACAAGGAGGAGACGTTCGAGTCTTTCACCGAGCGTTATGTCCAGTTCTTCGAGGAGGCTGAAGACTTGTTCGAGGTTCAGCGCGGTCTGAACAACTGCTTCGCGCACGACCTTGTCCCTGCCCCCGCGGTCTGCGAGTCTGCGCTCCGTGCGGCTAGGAGGGTGAACGACTTTGCGACGGCTGTGAGGATCTTCGAGGGCATTCAGGAGAAGGTGGAGAACAAGACGCAGTATCAGGCGTACTTGGATGAGCTGAAGCCGATTAGGGAGGAGTTGGGTACGTATTATTCTTTGGGCCCCCCCTATCGGCGTGTTATCTATCTGTTCGCAGTCGGACAACATGTTCTTACTTGTGATGTTGTACCCTGGTCAATTCTGGTGCTAATATATATGTGTGAGCAGGCATTGCGACAAAAGAAGAGCTTTTCACCGCGTCTTCCTAGAGAGGTTGCACCGTACCCGTTCCGCTTTATCGTCATTCTTAACCACAGTAAGTCTTTGTTCCTATTCCTTCCGCAACATGCACAGCTCCGTTCGCCTACAGTATGATCCCACTCTGCCTTATAATCTTACATTCAATGTTTGGATGCCCCCCTACTTTTGCTTGCCGTCCGTCACTTCCGCTGACCGCTTCTTTCCCGATTCACAGACGTTTGTTGTTTTTCACCCAACCCAATACATGTTTTCACCTTGATGGATTTGGACTATGAAACAATGAATCGTTATGTCAAGCCGTCCACGACATTGTGCCCTTACCTGGAGTGTCTGCCCGGAGCGGACTCCTCCACGTATAACCAACGAAATACTCCGAACTTCTCACCAGTTCTCACCTCTTCAGGACCGTTCTGCGTATCGACTACGACGAGTCGGCAGTGACTGCGTCTTGTTAGAATTGTTCGGCGATCTATAGACAACCTGTCTATCGTATACAAACGGTTCTGTCAGGAGGATTCGTGCTCGCCTTATCGCTTACCTCGAAGAGAGCCTCCTTTCGCCTTTTCACTTGTTGACTGGCGCTTATTTCCATTGCGAACTTGAAGCTTGAAGCCGGGTTGGTCTCGAGAGTTGAGGCTGCTGATCGCGCTCAGGAATTTCAGCCACGTCACTGTGCCGTCCATAACTCTGCACTTCCAGAGCTCACATCGGACGTCTCGCGACTTCCGTGTCTGTCTCATGGTGGGGATCTGAGGACTTATGGACGAACCGATCGGACCTAGGACTCGTAAGATACAGACGATGTTAGGATAGTTCACAACTTACTACAGCCTGTCAAGGTAAAATGCGAGATGTCATCGGTTGAATTCACCATGGATGTCTGATAACCTCGCAGCATACGCCTTGAGACTGTACAGAGTTGGTGATCGAGAGCAGTTAGTACAAAGCCCAACACCAATCGTGTGGAAAGTGCGAGGCAAATGACAAGTTTATCCTTACGAACATGATTCGTGGGATATTCCGGTTGACTGGCCCCACGTGATCATACGCGTCGAAGTCTCGACGCGTCGCGTTCGCGTCTTCGCGTCTGTTGAGTGGCACGGAAGGTCTCGTTCGCCAGTTACATAAATTCCGGGCAGGCCTGCAGCCTTCCCCCCTTCCCCCTTTTACCCCTAAGGCTTCCGACGTCTTTTCATCTTTCGGCTCTTGCGCACCCTAGCCTTGGATTTACTTCACGTCTATCACTAACCCTTGCTTGTGTCGACTGTCGACTTCTACCTACGCGTACTGGTGTTTACTGGCCATGGCCTCCAATTCACCCCTTGCTCGTGCGGATTCTATCGCGAGTATATCATCCGACGATGCGGCAAGCTCTCTGAGCATTCCAGTTGGTGGTCCCGACGCGTCACCCATCTCCGGATCAGCGTCAGCGGTGGGGAGCGCGGGTGGCACGACAGGCGGCGATGGAGAGAAGAGGACGCGGAAAAGGTTCACGGAGTTGCAGCAGACGATGCTGGAAAATATGTTCCATAGGACGTCACATCCTACGCGGGAGGAACGCGAGGCACTCGCGAACAACTTTGGAATGTGAGTCCTCTTCGCTTCTTTGCATTTTTTTTTGTTTGGTCGCGTCATGGGCATGGGGGCGAATACCTCGGTTTCAGACTCACTGTGACGCCTTCCGACGCGTTTCGTGTTCCTTTTCTGCGCGTGAATTGTGGGCTGATAACTTGTACGCGCAGGCAAGCAAAATCTGTGACCATTTGGTTCCAAAATCGTCGTCAGAACGAGCGTAAAGCGACGCGTCACACACCCACCAAGTCTTCCCCTTTATCCCCCCATACAATCGCCTCTGCTCCCAACGCGTCCTATTTCAGCCCATCCTACAACGCTCCCACACCTTATACGCCCTACGCCGCGCCAGCCGACACCCCGCACGCGAGCACAACTAATCCTGTCCGGCGCACGTATTCCATGCCACATCGGACGGCACACGACCGAGAAAGAGAACGCGAGGCTACGTTCTTCTTGTCCCCGACTCCTCAGCCCACGCGTTCCAGCACTCCCAAAGCCAAACACTTGCATCACACCCATATCCACTCCCACAGCCTCCAGAATCGTCCTTCGCTCGACCAAGTCGCGACTCTCAACGAGCTCCGCACCGCACCTCCACACACCCCCAAACGTCCCCCTCGAGCACACACTTACGGTGCCTCCGGTGCACTCTACGATAACATGCCCAGCTCTCCACTCGCTCCGCCTAGCCCGCCACCACGCGAGTACGTCGAGTTCGGGAAGAAGAGGACTACGACGAAGACGTTGGAGTGGGCCTGTGCGGCTGCGAGGTTGGTGAATAAGGAGGGTGGGAGTATGAGAGCTGGAGGAAGATCGGACCTTGAGGATGTGTATGAGGGGAATGAGAGTTCGGGGGCGTCGCCGTTGGTCAGGCGGCACAGTGAGCCATTCTTGGGTGGGTCGGGCAGGAAAAGTGGTGGCAGTGCGGGGTCAAGTAGGCACGGTCAACGGTCGCGATCGAGGAAAGGGGAGCGGGAGCTAGAAAGAAGCACGAGTCGGAGGAAGGAAGGGCCTACTAAGTCTCATAAAAAGGAGAAGAGGGAGCTGGTTGAGGAAGGAGGAGGCGAGGAAACAGAAGAGGATGAACCAGAGCTGATTACGCCGTTCGGTAGTCAGGAGTACGCAGGTTATCGTGCACAGTCGAAGGGTAAGGGAAAGGCCGTGGAGGATGACAGCATGGATGTCGATGTTGTCAGCGAGGGAGGGAACAACGCAGAGTTCGACGCTGCGCTGATACTAGCTCAAATGGGGAGGGCGATGAGATAGTCGAATAAGCGATGGGTATGAATACGAGTTGACGATGTTTCTCATAACTTTATATAATCAGATATGGTTACGCGGTTGTTCGACTGAGAGAGCTCGATAATGCATGAGAGGATAAGGAGGTTATCCAAGTTGCCTCCGTCTGAATCTGGATGGCGTTCAACACGGACCGATCGGACCAGGGCCACACCAGTGACACCACGACCATGTGGGTGCCACAAAGTTCTCGAGTTCGTCGTCGATGATGGCGTTCGGTTTGGGGCGGAAATAGCGAGTATCAGAGCACCACAATTGCGTCGGGATGACATCACAAACACCACCCGTCATCGACGCCAGTCTCCGTTCTACTATAAAATGACAGACCAAAGTGCCGCTCATCCTCGCTTCCAACTTCACGTACCAAACACACTTTCAAACAAACCCACAACACCCACAACAATCCACCGCACCCACTATGTCTTCCGGAGCCATGCAATCCAATGTCGGTAACTCTCAGGTGTACAACGACGGCGACCAGAGGTATGTTCTCTTTTTGGACAACCGGGTGTTGTCGAACGACATCAACTTCCCTCACAGGACGAGCAAAGGTCAGCAGGATGTCCAGCCCGCCTTCGAAGGGGGCCAGCAGAACTCCCATAATGTCCTCGACTCCAAGTATGTTACTTCCCTCCGTAACCCGTGTGCGACTCTCTCTAACGACATCCTCCATTGTCGGTGAAATTTAGGGACCAGCGCAGCCTAGCAAATACTCTCGCCGCTGCAGAAAAGCAAGCACAAGACGAGAAGCCATCACGGGTGTCCGTCGAGGACCATACCGCTCCAGCTGAGCGTCACGGTAACGAGCCATCAAGGGGCGCGAAGATCGACAAGGAGCTGCATGCGGAGGAGGAAGAGTTGATGAAGAAGAAGGGCGGTTTCGGTCCTTCCGTATAGATGCTCGGTCATGACGCTTTGTTGATGGAAGTCAAAATGTTGTCGCGTGTACTCTAGATGTATTATTATGGCGACATGTATTTGTTCGTTGTCGTTGCTGATGCAGCCCACGAAACTGGGGGAAGGAATGTTCAAGTCTCTGATGACGTTGACGCGCTCAAACAGGCTCAAACAGTGGGCAGAATCTGGTGGCTTCGGTAATGGCCGCAAGCCTGTGAGCTCTTTTCTTCATCCCCATGAAAACATACAGCTACCCACTGTCTGTCGTGGACACAGGTGAAGCGTAGCATGCCAGAATGGTAATTCCATCTCTTAGCCAACAATTAAACATGAGTGAAGTTAGCTGTTCACGACATACAGTTCATCAGCCGGGGTGAAAACTCGGCAGAGCAAGTCATCTCTTCCCGGTTTTTGTTCTCCTGATACCTCCCCAATACACAGTGAGTCTTTGGCAGCAAGGATTAACCGCTGAAATATGATTCTTTCGACAGGTTTCTGATATTATCTCACAGGGGAGGGCTCATCATTAGACGGCACTATTGTACTCAAGACTCGCTTTCCGTCGGGAACGATGGCTTCTCTTTCTTTTCTTGTTCTCTTTTTGGACGCGGATTGATAGCGCGACCTTTATGCTCAGCATGGCTAGGAATCTTTCGGAATCTGGTCGAACGCACAGCCGTTCACTTTGACTGGGTTCTCCCTAATTATTTCCCTTTTCGGAAAGCAACGTGGGCGCTTATTTATCCCTGCATTGTGCGCGCCACTCGTTGCTATTGGTCCCGCGCGCCACCGATATATAAGAAGCTCTTTTGTCTGCTCTGCGTTTATCTCTTGCTTCAGTACAATCATCTCGCCCACAACGCGACACACGATTAATCACTTGTCAACTCCGATCCATACATAACTCACTTCGAGGCAGCAAAGATGCTCCTCCTCGGCCAGATCATACTCTGGCTTTCATATCTCGCATTGGTGACAACGCCAATGCTCAATAGCTTCCCCTTCGAACTCATCAAGACACTCTCCCCCGCCACCAACTTTATCGGCCTCCTCTCCGGCGCTACAGACTCTCTCCCCCGGCTCCCCATCGCAGACCTCTTTCCCGTCCTCAATATGTCTGGCTTGTGGTATCAACGTTCGGACTTAGAGGAGTTGCTGATGTTCCAAGTTGCATTCATCCCCACCATGGCGGCCATCGTTCTGGCTATCGTGAGTTCGATTATCTTTTCATTCCTCATTCTTGGGTGTCGGGTGTCGGGTGGCGGGTGTCTGTGTGGCGAGTGTCAGTGTGGCGCCATACTCACAGTGTGCTGTTGTTGGTCCATAGGTGCTACTCCTCATCACTCACATCGACGATGAAAGATTAGCGGAACTTTTTCTGGGGCGCATTGATGAACATCTCAGTACGAGGGTGAGTTGGTCTTCACATCGTACGACGTGCAAGCTTGCTGACAGCGATTGGCTCTCTGCTCATTGCACACATCCCCGTCGATGCCTCTGACACCATCCTCAGATCGACGCCATTCATATTCAGGTGTCACAAAACGTTGCTGTCGTCTCGCCCCACCGCAGAACCCGTAAACACTCGTCGCGTAAAGGCAACAGCGTCCCCCTACGCGTCGTCGAGATCTCTCGCGACGCGACGACGTGTCTGAACCATGTCGATGAGGTGCGTGTCCTTTTGGCTATCTGTACTTCATATCCCTTTTCTGAATGACCGCTTTTGTACAGAATGCGCGCGAATTGGAGCTCGATGCCCTGGTCGGATTCAAGACATACGGCCAAATTCCGTCGAACGTCACGGCACCTATCGAGAGCCTGGGTCATCACGAATCCTTCGAGGAACCTCTCGAGGAATATCGTGACATGGCTTCCGAGGTCGAAGTGGTAGTCAACGTATTGGTATCTGGTGTCCCCACTCCCGATTCGACCACGCCCCCGCCCTTGCCCTTGCCCTCGCCGACGCCCTCAGTGATCACCACGCTCGCCCCCATCACGACCTCTTCGCACGAGACGGCCGTTCAGCAAAGCGAGGACCCAGGCTCGACACCTACCACGCCAGGCGAAACCGAGGGCGACTCTATCCCCACTTCCACAGCAGCCAGCACCCCAGACTCCACTTCGTCCGACATCATCGCCACCACCACGCCCGACCTCCCCACGCCTTCGGTTCTCGCACCAGACGCGGTCGCCAATCTCGAGAACGTCGATGGAGATGAACTGGACACCCAGGACGTCAACGCTTGCTTTACTGGAGGGAATGAGATGGTGCACGACGTAGTCGTGCCTTCGACAGGCAGCCCCGATATCGACCGACCGGCAGGCATGCTCATGCGCTCGGCGGCAGCGAAGTCTCTTGGCCATGACTCCTCCACGGTACCTCCTGTGAGGATGCTCACGACCGCCATTGATCCCACTATGCCCGGGCCTGGCCCCGAGTTCACGGGTATGAAGATTGACATTCAGGCCCTTCTCTCATCCGCACCTGCACACCCTACCAATGAGCAACCTACGGCTACTTCGACCAACAAGTTTTTGTCAGCTCTGTTCCCTGGCCACCGCGAATCTGAGGACCATTTCGCTTCAAGGGAGTCTGAGAAAGATGCCAGCACATCATCCGTAAGTACATCGTAATTTTATTTAATTCCAATACTGACAGCCCCTCAAAATATACAGACGGACTCGAGCTCTCCCTCTAGCGGTCAAAGCGTCAGCCTTCCGCATACGGACAGCTCTGAAATCATCAGGCCCCTGAGCCCCCCGGACGCCCCGACCACTCCGCGGAGGCAACGTCAAGAGAATCCAGCCCATGGTCTCGACTCCGCGCCCGATGCATCGCCTGCCAGCGACGCCCTATCCTCCGGACCCCACCCGCCGGGTTTCAAATCGATCACTATCGAGGAACTGTCTGCCTCTGAACGTGACAGAAAAACAGACGCAACTGACGGTGAAAAGCAAGACAACAACTCGGACGCACAACCGTCTCCCGCTCCAATCACACCTTCCGTGTACCATCCCGTCGATGTGAATCTCCTTCGAAGACGCCCGTCTCTCCCAGATCTGGGATCGGTCTTCCTGGCCGAGTTAGATGACACTAACGACAGCGAAGATCAGCCCGTCAATAGAGTCGTGTTTCGAGAACGCACGCCTCTCGATTTTCGATCCCACTTCTTCTTTGGGCGCAGGCGATCTGGTAAGCTGAACTAATACATCTTGTTGGTCATGGGCAGTAATCTAATCCAACCTTACTCTTTGTTTGCTAGCACATTAGACTCGCCACTATCCGACCATCACCCTGACCCTAGCCTCGAATCTTCCTCTGCTGGGCCCATCTCGGAAGACGAAAGGGACGAAATCTTGTCAAAGCTTCTTCCCGCCCACGAGATCGACTATGACGCAGATGAGTCTGACTTTGAAGACGACGACGACGACGCGGACGACTGGGACTTCCATCCAAATTTGGACGGTGCAACTCCCTTCATCCCTCCAGCTCCTATTATCTCTTCAGATCCAGCTCCGACAATTCCAACTGCCCCCTCCCCAGCTCCAGCCTCGACAATTCCAACTTCCCTCTCTCCGACACTTCCTGCCGGTATCCCACGCCCAAGAATCCCTTACACACCGCTCAAGAAACCTGGCACTTTCTCCGGACTCTGGGACGCTGCACACGCTGCCCATTCCAAAGGCCAGACTTGGCTCGCTGCAAGGCTTCTTCCGGAACGGTTCCCGATGTTCTGGAGTCCGACTGCGAGGTCGTGGGCGGACGAGGTGGAGGAGGATATGTTCAGAGAGGCGTTAGATGCGAAGCTGATTGGTGAAGGCGGACGAGTTCTGACGGCCGAAGAACTAGCATCGGTTCCCGATGGTTTGGAGTCCGACTGCGAGGTCGTGGCGGATGAGGTGGAAGAGGGTATGCCGAGAGAGGCATTGGAGGCGAAGCTGACGGGTCCAGGAGGACAAGGTCGGACGGCTGAAGAACTTGCAAGTCCTCGATAGCCTCGCTCAAGATCAGGGCTCGAGATGATATGGCCAAGAAGTCGACGAAGTTCTTCCATCACCACTCTGCACCCGTCCACCGATTCGTCGCCGGATATCACTTCGTGGACAATGCCGATTTGGACTATCGCGCAGGCCTGTCGGGCAGATCTACCAGCAGACGGGGGACGCCCTGATTGCTGCTAGATCTGCCTGACTATAAGTCCAGGATCGCGACGATTCAAAGGGGACATTGTGAGTTCGACACATCACTCCTCATCTTTCTTCCCTGTTGTTCCAACTCGGTATGGATGCCCTTCGGACTACACGACTGTCATGACGAGGCGTGGATGGTTTGATGTTTGCTGCTAGATTTTCTCCTTTCTTCTTCTCGTCTCTATCTCTTTCTTTTCGCAATCTCGTGTCTATTTCTTTCTTTTCGTAATCTCGTCCTTATGCCTCTCTTTTCACAATCTCGTTTCTATCTCTTTCATTCGGCAGTCTTGTCCTATGCCCGGCATACTCTCGTGCCCCCTTTCATCTCCTGTACCACCCACTTCCGGTCCTGTCTACTTACCAAGCTGCCCGCACACTATGGCGGGCCTGTTGCGGACTGGCGTCTGTTCTACGCTACAGTTCGCTTCTTAGCATCACCTCGTACTATATGCTTTGGTACGCTTGCTTGAGCTTAACTTGTATTTAGACGGAAGTACGTAGATTCACCGAGCGCCGCCGGATGTGCGACGCAAATTTGCGCAATGGCAAGACTGACTATCGCCCATACGCTGCAGCCACGGTTTCGGTCCTTCCGTATAGATGCCCGTTCACGACGCTTTGTTGATAGAAGTCAAGATGTTGTCGCGTGTATTCTAGATGTATTATTATGGCGATTTGTATCTGATGATTGTCGTTGCTGATGCAGCCCACGAAACTGGGGGTGTCAATGTCAAAGTCTGTGATGGTGACGTTGACGCGTTCAAACAGGCTCAAACAGTAGGTACATGGAATCTGGCTTCGGTAATTGCCGCAAGCCTGTGAGCTCTCTCCTTCATCCCATGAAAAACTACAGCTACCCTTTGTCTGTCGTGGACACAGGTAAAGCGTAGCATGCCAGAATGGTAATTCCACTTTTTACCCAACAATTAAATATGAGTGAAGTTGGCTGTTCACGACATGCAGTTCATCAGCCGGGGTGAAAACTCGGCAGAGTAAGTCGTCTCCTCCCAGTCTCTGTTCTCCTGATACCTCCCCAATACACAGTGAGTCTTTGGCAGCAAGGATTAACCGCTGAAATATGATTCTTTCGCCAGGTCTCTGACATTATCTCACAGGGGAGGGCTCACCCGCAGCCGCATCATCGCAATCAGACCCGCTTTTCGTCGGGAACGAAGCCTTCTCTTTCTTTTCTTGTTCTCCTTTTGGACGCGGATTGATAGCGCGACCTTTATGCTCAGCATGGCTAGGAATCTTTCGGAATCTGGTCGAACGCACAGCCGTTCACTTTGACTGGGTTCTCCCTAATTATTTCCCTTTTCGGAAAGCAACGTGGGCGCTTATTTATCCCTGCATTGTTGCGCGCCACTCGTTGCGGTCCCGCGCGCCACCGATATATAAGAAGCTCTTTTGTCTGCTCTGCTTGCTTGTTTATCTCTTGCTTCAGTACAATCATCGCCCACAACGCGACACACGATTAATCACTGGTCCACTCCGATCCTCAACTCACTTCGAGGCTGCAACGATGCAGTTGCTCTACCACCTAATCTTATGGCTCTCGCAGCTCGCGTTTGTCACGACACCGATACTCAACAGCCTTCCCTTTGACTTCACCAAGACTCTCTCCCCCGTCACCAACTTCATCGGCCTCCTCTCCGGCGCTACAGATTCTCTGCCCCTGCTCCCCATCGCAGACTTCATCCCGGTCCTCGACATGTCCGGCTTTTGGTATCAACGTTCGGACTTGACGGACTCGCTGTCGTTCCAGGTCGTGTTCATCCCCACCATGGCGGCCATTGTTCTGGCTATCGTAAGTCCGATTCTCTTTTCGTTCCTCATTCGTGGGTCTCGGGTGGCGGGTGGCGGGTGTCAGTGTGGCGCCATGCTCACAATGTGCTGTTCTTGGTCCATAGGTGCTAATCCTCTTCACTCACATCGATGATGAAAGACTGGCGGAACTTTTTTTGGGGCGCATTGATGAACACCTCAGTACGAGGGTGAGTTGGTCTTCACATCGTGCGACGTGCAAGCTTGCTGATAGCGTGTCACTCTCTGTCCACTGTGCACATCCCGGTCGACGCCTCTGACACCATCCTCAGATCGACGCCATTCACATTCAGGTGTCACGAAACGTCGCTGTCACCTCGCCCCACCACAGAACCCGTAAACCCTCGTCGCGTAAAGGCAACAGCATCCCCCTACGCGTCGTCCACATCTCTCGCGACGCGACGACGTGTCTGAACGATTTCGATGATGTGCGTGTCCATTTTACCATATATTATTTGTCGACCTTTTCTTAATGCCCGCTTTCGTACAGAATGCACGCGAATTGGAGCTCAATGCCCTGGTTGGATTCAAGACATACGGCCAAATTCCGTCGAGCGTAACAGCACCCATCGAGAGCCTGGGCGATCGCGAATACTTCGAGGAACCTCTCGAGGAATATCATGATATGGCTGCCGAGGTTGGAGACGTGGTAGTCAATGTATTGGTATCTGGTGACCCCACTCGCGATTCGACCCCGCCCCCGCCCTCGCCCTCGCTCTCGCCAATGCCCTCGATGATCCCCACGCACGCCCCCATCACGACCTCTTCGCACGAGACGGCCGTTCAGCAAAGCGAGGACTCAGGCTCGACACCTCCCACGCCAGACGAACCCGAGGACAGCTCTATCCCCCCTTCCACAGCATCCAGCACCCCAGGCTCCACTTCGTCCGACATCATCGCCATCACCACGCCCGACCTTCCCAGGCCTTCGGCTCTCACGCCAGACTCGGTCGCCAATCTCGACAACATCGATGCAGATAAATTGGACGCTCAGGACGTCGATGCTTCCTCTCCTGGTGGGTATGAGATGGTGCACCGTGGAGGTGTCCCTTCGACAGGAAACCACGAGACCGACCGGCTGTACGACATGCTCGAGCGCTCGGTGACAGCGAAGTCTCCTGCCCATAACTCCTCCACGAGACTTCCTCCGCAAACACTTGCGACCGCCGTTGATCCTATGCCGAGGCCTGAGACCGCGTTGACGGGTATGAAGATTGACATTGAGGCCCTGTTTGCATCCGAATCGGCATCCGCATCCCCTGTCGATAAGCAACCCACAACTACGACCGACAACTCTTCATCCACACTGTTCCCTGGCTTCCGCGGATTTGAGGATCGTTTCGCTTCAAGAGAGTCCGAGAAAGATACCAGCGTATCATCCGTGAGTAATTGTAATTTCATTTAATTTTCAATACTGACCGCGTCTCAAAATATCCAGAAGGACACGCGCGTCCGCTCTGCATACACGGAAAGCCCTCCTCAAACACAACAAGAGAACCCATCCTCTGGCCGCGATTCCGTGTTCCAGGCATCGCCTGCTAGCGGCGCCTTACCCTCCGTCTCCTCCCCGTCTCGTTTCAGAAAGATCGATTTCGAGGAACCATTCGCATCTGTCCATGACAGTGAGGTGAACAACATTGACGGCAGCGATGAAGACGACGCCTCGGATGCACAACCCATTGTGTATCACCCCGTTTATATGAACGACCGTTCAAGACGCATGTCTCTTCCAGACCTTCGATCTGTCTTCCTGGCTCCGTTGGACGACACTGAAGACAGCGAAGTAGAGGAAACCACGGACGCACCCCGTCCCGTCAATAGGGTCGAGTTTCGAAGACGGACGCCTCCTGATTTTCGATCAGACTTCTTCTATGAGCGCAGGCGATCTGGTAAGCTGAACTGGTACATCTTGTTGGTCATGGACAATAATCTAATCCAACCTTACTCTTTGTGTGCTAGTACATTAGACTCGCCCCTGTCCGACCATTGCCCTACTGTCGAATCTTCCCCTGTTGGACCCATTTCAGCAGACGAAGCGGACGAAATCTTATCAAAGCTTCTGCCTGCCCGGCAGATTGCCTATGACGCAGATGAATCCGACTTCGACGAAGACGACGACGGCGACGGCGACGCAGACGACTGGGACTTCCACCCAAAGTCGAACGCTACGACTCCTGCCATCTCTTCGGCTCCAGCTTCGACAATTCCAACTGCTCTCTCTTCAGCTCCAGCCCCAATAGCTCCAACTTCCCTCTTGCCAACACTCCCTGCCCGTCCCCCACGCCCAAGAGTCCCTTACGCACCGCTCAAGAAACCTGGTACCTACCGCGAGCTCTGGGACGCTGCTCACGCTGCCCATTCCAAAGGCCAGAATTGGCTCGCCGCGAGACTTCTTCCGGAACGGTTCCCGATGTTCTGGAGTCCGACTGCGAGGTCGTGGGCGGACGAGGTGGAGGAGGATATGTTCAGAGAGGCGTTAGATGCGAAGCTGATTGGTGAAGGCGGACGAGCTCGGACGGCCGAAGAACTAGCAAGTCCTCGGGCGGACGAGGTAGAGGAGGATATGCCGAGAGAGGCATTCGAGGTGAAGTTGATGGGTGAAGGAGGACGAGTTCGGACGGCTGAAGAACTATCAGGTCCTCGATAGCCTGGCTCAAGATCAGGGCTCGATACGATATTACCAGGTCGACGAAGTTCTTCCTCCAGCGCTCTGTTCAAGACTTGCATCCGTCCACCGGTTCATCACCGAATATCACTTCGTGGCCGATGCCGATTTGGACTATCGCGCAGGCCTGTCGGGCAGATCTACCAGCAGACGGGGGACGCCCTGGTTGCTGCTAGATCTGCCCGACTATAAGTCCAAGGATCGCGACAATTCAAAGGGGATATTGTGAGTTCGAGACATCACTCCTTATCTTTCTTCCCTCTTGTTCCAAACCGGCATGGAGGCCCTTCGCACTGTAGGATCGTCATGACGAGGCGTGGATGATTTGAAGTTTACTGCTATGCTTTCTCCTTTCTTTCTCTCGTCTCTATCTCGTTCTTTTCGCAATCTTGTCTCTATTTCATTATTTTCGCAATCTCGTCTCTATTCTCCTCGTTCCGAAATCTCGTCTATGCCTGGCATACTCTCGTGCCGCCCTTCATCTTCAACCACCCACTTCTTGTCTTCATTTCTTTCGTTTCGCAATCTCTTCCTATGCCCGGCATACTCTCGTGCCTCCCTTTCATCCCCTGTACCGCCTACTTCCAGTTCTATCTACTTACCAAGCTGCCCGCACACCATGGCAGGCCTGTTACGGACTGGCGTCTGTTCTACGCTACAGTTCGCTACTTAGCTTCACCTCGTACTATATGCTTTGGTACGCTTGCTTGAGCTTAACTTGTATTTAGACGGAAGTACGTAGATTCACCGAGCGCCGCCGGATGTGCGACGCAAATTTGCGCAATGTCATGACTGACTACCGCTCACACCCTGCAGCCAGCATCTATGTGAGAGAAGAAAGGGCGTCCACGCCGAGCTCACACACACGTTGCCAACACCGACGACAAGTAATAACAACTTCATAGCGGTATAGGAATGTGATAATGTACGATACGATCTGATTGCCGCCGTGTATCAGGATAATGAAATGTTCCAGATGGTTCATACAGTGCGCAAAGACAACCTCAAGAAAAAGGGCCATGGCCAGTAACACAGGCAGGCTCCAAAAAACAATGCTCGAAAGCTCACATCCTCTGGATATAAACCTTCCACACAGCCCCGCCCTTCTCCCCCAGTTCCAAGATATGCGAGCCTATGGGTACCTCGATATCCCAATTATCTTCGTTCTCTCCACTGGCTCTGACGACGGTCTTGTCGAGACGAACTTGCATCGGCGGTGGTACACGTTTCGGGGGCAACTTCACGCCGTCTTTAATTCTGACTCCGCCGCCGTTTCGACCGTCTGTACCACCACGTCCGCGGCCTGGACCTCTTCCACTCATTCCCTGATCCGCCTCTTCTTCTTCTTCCTCCTCCTCTTCCTCCTCTTCCTCATGCTCCATGCCTGCGTCGTCACTGCTCTCTTCTTCCTCATCGTCGAGGTAAGCCACATTTCCGATCTTGAGACCCATCTCTCCCGGGACTAGTCGTAACGACCAAACCCTCACTCCGTCGAGATAATCCAGATCAAGCTTCCGCCCCACAGGTTTAATAGTCAACGACAAGGACTTGAGTGGATGCTGTGACTGTTGAGAGCCAGAAGGTGCCGGTGAGTGGGACATAGAATGTGGTGTGACGGTCGATCGTGGAATAGCAGGCAATGAAGCCATGGGCGGTGCCGGGATAGGGGTCTGTATCGGCGGAAGTGCAGGTGTGGGTGCCGCTGACGGTGCGGGAGTAGAAGCCGGCTGTTGGAAGGCTGATGTAGGATATTGAATGTAGCTTGGGGTTGAACTGGCGAACGTTTGCGTTGGTCGAGGCGTGTGTGGCGTGGGTTGGGGAGGTGCAGTGGGAGCGGCTGTGAAAGGAGCAGCTGGGAGAGTCATGGATTGTGCGGGCTTGGGCGCGAAAGGGGCAGGAGTTTGGGCCATGGATGAAGACGATGCCACTGCTTGGGCCGGGGTTGTGGGAGCTATAGAGGCACCGTTCTTCAAGGGAACCTTGAGAACCATTGGACTCTTCACGGTCGTAGGAGTGGGAGCGCCTGGGTTCGGTCCTGCCGCAGGGACGGAGGATGCTCCAGGATTATGAGCGGGCAATCTCAGCTTGATCTTACCGGCACCACCAGTGGGTTTAGAGGAAGCGTATTGCGGAAGAGAATATGGTGGCGGAAGATCTGATACAAGCTGACGGAAATGACCCTACATAGAATTCTGGTCAGTAAGAAACAGTTTGCAACCGCAGAGAATATACTCACCTTCAGAGTCTCTGCCGCCTCCCAAAGAGGTGTATGGTCGTCGTTGAATTGTTGGGCGTTCGAGAAGATAAGTTCCACATCGTTCGCGAACTCGGTAGAGGTATGATATTCTTTGCGCTTGAGGTGTTTCTGAAGCATATCGCATGATGAGTGACCGATATGAATCAAATAGAACAGCCTAAGCGCACGAATATCTTCTCAAAGGACATAGGTCTGGGGATGGTCTTGTAGTAGATGGCCCATTGCTTCTTGTTTGGCAGTTCCATGAATTCGCTCGAAAGAGAGTTACCGCTGATAGAATGTAAGACAGACGGTATCAATGCGAAGAGCTCGAGACTTACTTCTCGTCCGTCTTCGAGACCAGCTTCTGGAGTCTGCTCGTGAGCAACCGTGTCAAGTTCGGAGGCTTCTTGACGTGCTTTGAGCCACCTTCGTCCGCCGAGGCAGCTGTGTTGGCGACTTCTTCTTCGCCTTCGTGTCCTCCACCATCGTCGTCGTGCCCTTCGTCTGCTGCATTGTGATCTCCTGTGATCTCAGCATACTCTTTGGCCATGACTTTCTACAGGCGCCCCTTGTACGGTCAGGTCTACCGGAAGATACACTATAAAGACGGAGACGTACGTGCAGAGCCTTCGCATCGAGCCATATCTGACTGTCCTTTATGTTGTACCGTTTCGCGTTGCGAAAGCAAGTGTCGAAATCATGCTTCACGGCCTCTATAGACGTGTATTCCCCTGCACTGAGCTGTGTCTTAATCTCGTCGAGGGAGACAGGTTTCTTGATGACGGTGTAGTAGTGGGCATATTGTCGTTTGGAAGGAAGACGAAGGAACTCGGTCGAGAGCAGGCGTCCCCTGTTAGGAATCAGCTACAGGTCCGGGACGGGAACGGGCTCGGCCACGCACTCTTTATCCACCGCATCCTTCACCGTCTGCCACAACTTCAAGCCTTGCTCCTGCACCGCCGCCCTCTGCTCCTCACTGACTCCCTCTCGCGTCCCGTCCAGCATCTCCACGTCCGGCTTCTCGTCCATCGTCGCTTCCCGTCGTCGCTTCGCCCGGGGCGCGTCTGCGTCTACAACAACCGCTAGTCTCTCCAGTTCTCGCTTCGACATCGACGGAAGTCCAGTTTCGGGGCGAGTACGCTGTCCTAGGAAAGCTCTCAGGCGTTGTCGCGTTTGGGCCACTCAATAAACAATGTTATTGTGGGATCTCCGTGACAGCACGGTCACGTGTGACGCCTCACGCGACGCGCTCGACACTCGACTCGTGCTCGTTACGAACGCGGTTGTCACAGACACAGATCATCGATCAGCGTTGATCGATGATCCCGCTCCGCGATACTCTGTGTATACGGTTGCCACAGAGTTCACGGTCTGTTGACGCGCGTCGCGCGTTCGAGCTGCTCGAATGCAGGCCATGTCACACTATGATTTGTGCCTCTCCTGCGCTGACTTTCACACATTTGAGAACCCAGAAATGCTTTGAATAGTTCATATAGTCTATATAATCCATGTCTGCTACATAGAGTGCAAACTGATATCACAGGAGCCCGGGATCGCTTTTCGGCCAGCCCAAGGCCAGCCCAAAAAGATCCGGGGCATTCCGGAGGTCGGCCGGAAATGAGACCGCGTCGGTGTCCATTCCGGCCTCTCGTTCAATTGGTGTGGAACTCTGTGGCCCAAATCCAGGACTTAAGTAGCTGCCTCGCATTAAATAACCCAGGAAATATATATATATATATATATATATAAGAATGGAAGATGCACTGTGCGTATAAAGAGTCCTGCCAGGCGGCCCATCCATTGTATCTATTACTCGTTACGGGGGAGTGTAGTCTAAGGTGGCGAGTTCAACTGGACTGTTGTGAACAAACCAGAACAGTGTCTTCGTTCACACATATGATAATCTGAAGCTACGTCTGAGTATAGATGCATCAAAAAATTGAATACCTACCTATAGCTTCCCCAGTAAGTTCAATGAGGCCAGTACTAGTCCACCAAGTACTTTGAAGAAGAGCAGTCGAAGCGCGGTGGCGGAGGGTGGCGGGTCCCATGCGGGTTGCGGGGGCCACCTCCGGGGTGCATCCCGGATCCGGAAATGTCTTTTTTCCCGCCGAAAGCACTTTTTGCGCTTTCGTCGCCTGAAGTCGGTTTATGTTACATAGAGAGGGCTGGATACACATTCAGGAGCATTCTAATCCTCCATGACGCTCCATAATAGCAGGGAATGATACAGAAATCAGTCAGAGAGATTGGCGGGCAGTAGAATGGCTCGAACGCGCGACGCGCGTCAACAGACCGTGAACTCCGTGGCAACCGTACTGTGTATCCCGTTTCGAGAAAGTACGGTGACTCTAGCTACTGCAGTCATCACCAGGTGAGCCTCAACAGCTCAGGGAATATCTATCCTGAAGGGACCTGACGTGTCTCAACAGCGCTCCAGACAACTATGGCCACTTCATCTGCGTCTCTCGTGGTCTCCCCAATCAGCAAACTCCCTCCCGAGATTCTAATCCAGATCTTTATTGTCGTCGCTGACGGGCGCGGGCAGAAATCCTCGGACAGGTTTCGCTCCGGACAACGGGGTCTGCCACCATCCTTCCTTTTGACCCACGTCTGTCAGCACTGGAAAGAAGTCGTTCTGAACTGTCCAGCGCTCTGGACGAAAATCGAATTCCCCTCCTCTAGATGTTCTGCGGAAATGATAGCGCGCTCCAGAGGGGCACCCTTGAAATTCGCAGCCGCCATGGACGGTTTATGGGCACAGCGATATCGGACTACTTCATCAAAAGATGTTCAGGCTGCTCTACAGCATGTTTCCCATATACAGGAACTAGACCTTACCCACAAAAGCCAAGACTTGTCAAATTTACTCCGAACGATGACATCTCCTGCCCCCGTTCTGGAGAGTCTGTCGTTGCGAGTCTCCAAGTCCGGACTAGCCTTGGAGGGCCTGACAGGGTCTACATTTGCCGGAGTGGCACCTAAACTGCGCTCTCTGCTGCTCGCCCGCTGCAATTTCGCAAATTGGGATGTGCCGCTTCTGAAAAACATTGTCCATTTCCGCTTCTACGATGTCACAAGACGATCTGACATCGTGAGCTATCTCGGTGAGTCCAAATTCCTGATTTCGTGACACATGTCCAAACTGATGACGATCCATTACAACTTTCAGCGATGTTGAAAGGCATGCCTAAGCTCGAACGACTGTTCGTTGTGAACGCCTTTGCCGCCCTACCACAAGAACTCGTTTCTGAACGCAAAATAATGGATAGACCAATCCTGACAATGCCGCACCTCTCTCGATTGTCGATTAAAGCCGTCGACCCGGCTGCATCGAACGCCTGGGACATTGCCTATATATTGGTCCACCTCTCTTTACCTGCCCTATGTCACATCGATATCACTGTTGACATGTCCGAAGGCGACCTCCGCAATTTTCGGTCCCTCTTACCGATCGTAGCGCATCAATTCCATGGGCCACAGGATAGCCCCCCTATCCGGGCGGTCGCCATCGCTGGCCTCGAAGGCTTGAGCAGTCGTGAGAACGGCTATGTAGCCGTCACGGGCTGGGCCAACGGCGAGGACACTCGTTTGTCACAGTTATTCAACAATCACTGCGCCGAAACAGACGACTCTCGCTTCCGCTTCTGTTTCGAGAAGGTCGACGACGACAACGGTACCCGGAATCTCACAGCCACTCTCTCCGCTTTCCCCCTCTCTCATATCCTTCTTCTCGCCGTCGACTCTATTGGCGACCTCCACCACGCGTCGTGGTGGACTGATACCCACGTCCTCTTTCCTTCGCTGAACCGGCTCTACATTAAAGGCCGCGAGGCGTTCCGAACATTCTGCTACGCCTTCGTCACGAACAAGACCGCCCCCGCCATGAACCTCGATAAAGGAACCCCACTCGCCGCGCACAGATTCATGAAGCATCCGGAGAAGAGGACGGAGTTCTTTGATGTTCCGGGCACTCTCCAGGACCTCATATTCCCCGGGTTGCGAACTCTCACGATGGTTGACGTTGAATTTGAGGTGAAAGAATTTGCGGATCTGTTTATCGAGGCGTTGGTGGTGAGGAGGGAGCTTGGAGTTGGGATACAAAGGATAGAGTTCACGGGGGGTCGATTCAATGTGGCGTACGTGGAGAGGTTCAGGGAGGTCGTTCCTGTGGTTACATGGGAAGGGAAGGAGATGGATATGGAGGGCGTTGTAGACTATCGCTGGTTGGATGTGGATAGCGACGGAGGCGAGGTTAAGGATAATGAGTCGGAGATCATGGATCGTGATGAGAACGGTGTATGATGGTACTACGGAGGAGGAAGGCGGCTCAGAAAGTGATCATGGTACTGGTGTCCCCTGTAGATCTATGGTTATTTTTTCCGCTCTAGTCATCTTCGAAATCAAACCGGCTGTCAATCCTGCATGTCAATCCCCACATCTTACCCGCTCTACGTATTTCCACTGAACTGCGTGAGAGTTTTGCCATTTGTGACCCGACGCGCTCGTCACGCCGGTTCGTCACAAACGCGAATTGTCGTCGGAAGCAAAAGCCAGCTTGAGCCTGTCGATATCTTGCAACCATTCCGATTCGTGACCTCGAGACAGTGAAGGTGTTCGCAAGTATGATCAATCTCTTAAACCCCGTATAGGAGATGAGTTTTGCTAATGGAGATTTTATATCAGGGTTTTCAGCGATTTCACCGGACGCTGTCGGAGAGTTGTCGAAGGCTATCGGCGACTCGTTACTGTCAGAAGCCAGATTTGCGTACTGCAGGTGAGTCCTTACCGAACGATGAGAATCAGTTCGTTAGGCTTATATATGATTACCCCATCTAAGATTGTTCGACCTCCTGCAGCAACGAACCGGTATCTGGTCGAGGCTTTCTCTCAAGTTTACATCGGAGCATCGGGCTGTTCATGGCGACTTCCTCTGCATCTCTCGGGGGCGCTCCAATCAATAATCTCCCTGCTGAGGTTTTAAGCCTGATTTTCGTGAATATCGTAGATTCGAACGATGATAGTAGCTCGGCGTATCGATTATGCCTCGAAGGCAACTCGAAGGACCTCCCATCTTGCGTTGTATTGACGCACGTCTGCCGGTACTGGAGAGAAGTCGCCTTGAATATATCTGCCCTTTGGACGAACCTGAATCTTCTGTCGTTGAAATGTACGCAAGAGATGCTGGCTCGCTCTAAAGAGGCGCCTCTCAAGGTTTTCGCTGTCTTGGAGGATTATTGGCACCAACCGACTATTCGAGTAAAGACAATCCATGCCGCTCTTCAGCATCTATCACGCATCAGGGAACTTGACCTTACCCACAATGGCAAAGACTTGCACGCCCTGGTTCAAACCTTGTCATCTCCTGCTCCGCTTCTCGAGCGTATGTCGTTGCAATCCACCACACTAGGTCCAACATGGGAGTACCTGACAGAGTCGACCTTCAACGGAATTGCACCCAGGCTTCGCTATGTGTCGCTCGCGCGATGCTACCTGGCGAAATGGGACCTAACAATCTTCCAACATTTGGTTGATTTCGAGTTGCATAACATGAGTCCCTCTATGAGACCAGACATTGCAGGCTACCTTGGTACGTACAGTTACTCGGACTGCGGAATAGTTATTTCACCCACTAATAACTCATCCCAACTTCCAGCAATGCTGCAGAATATGCCTAAACTCAAAAGCCTCCTCCTCGACGACACCATACCCAGTGCCCCGCACGCGTTCGTGTCTGGAGGCTCATTGACTTCGCTCGGTGCCAGGCCAGTCAAACAGACGGTTCACATCTCCAGACTCACAATTGCTGCTCTCGAGCCAATCGAAAATAATGTGTGGGCTATCGCCTACTTCTTGTCCCATCTCAGTCTACCTTCCCTACGCCACCTTCACATTACGTGTGGCGCCTCCGAGGGCCACCTCTTCGAACTCCGACTTCTCTTGCCGATGCTTGCGCAACTCTGCCATGGCTCACAAGACGATGCCCCCATCAAATCCCTCGCCATCGTCAACCTAAAATGGCTCTCCATATCCGATAATAATTTTGTGGGCGTCGGAGGGTGGACGGAGGCCCAACCAAGCAATCGCAAGGGCGCTCTGTTACCGCAGCTGCTAAACGAGTCAAAATCCGAAATGGATAGCGCTCGTTTCTGCTTCAGCTTCGAGAACGTTGATTCGGTGCATCGTGGTAATCTCGCACGAAGCCTCGCAGGCATTTTGTCCACTTTTCCTCTCTCCGATGTCACCTCATTCGCTGTCGACGATACGATCGATGATCTCGAACACGCTTCGTGGTGGATCGAGAACCACGTCCGTCTACCCTCGGTGGACCGGCTATACACCAAAGGCAATTCATTCCGAACATTCTGCTACGCCTTCGTCACGAATAAGACTGCCCCTGCGATGAACTACGACAAGGGGACTCCACTTGCTGTGCACAGGTTCTTGAAGCATCCGGATGAGAGGGACAAATTCTTCGATGTTCCGCACATGCTTGAGGAACTTGTGTTTCCCGGACTACGAACGCTCATCATGATTGAGGCGGCGTTCGAGATGAAAGTGTTTGCGGAGCTATTAATCGAGGCGTTGGCGGTGAGGAAGGATTATGGTGTGGGGATACAGAGTATCGAGATGAAGAGATGCAAGGTTGACAGGGCATATGTGGCGCGGTTAAGGGAAGTTGTACCGGAGGTTGTGTGGGATGAGCGGGACGAGGATATGGACGATATGGATGACTATCGTTGGAGGAATATAGACAGTGATGGAGAAACAAGTGAGGATGAGGATGGAAGTAGGAATGATTCGGAGAACGGGAGCGACGATGAGGATAACGGCTCGGACGAGGAGGGCAGCTACTAAAACTGGTCTTCTCTACGAACGAGGGCTGTCCACCAAAACCAAATTGCGCGGTTTTGCTTGTTTTTTTCTTGAATTTAAGTCCCATACCCCATCTTATAACATTCACTGGTACATCTACAGCAACGCGTTAGAGATCCTACCCGTACTTTTGCTACAGCACCACTGACGGTCTGCATATTCAAGATCAGCGCTTATGCGCCATACCCCCACGTCACTCAACCTTCAGTCTCGCCAGCCTCATCTCCACCAATCGTCGCTTCGCAGACCTCGAATGTTTATTCAACCCGCCAGCAAAAGCCCAGCCCGCGTCCCGCCACAGTCCGCCTTCAAGTTTTGTCTTATCCTTAGGGATAGCGTACTTGCGAAGTACCATCGCGCCGCCCGGCTACGATCATGCAATCGTCAGCCTCATATCAAGCCTATCGAGACCACAGAATGAAAGGCGAAAGAGCCTACATGTTCCTTCATATAGTTTGTCGCATCAATCACAAACCCATCGACGACCATCAAACATGGCGCGGTCTTGGTTCCCATATTTTCCGCGTATTCCATGACCTGATCCACATCCCACACCGGACCACTCCAGGCCGCCTCGCCCTCACCAGTATTTTCTGAAGATCCATCGTGATGTGTGACATGGGACTTCGAGCGCATGAAGAGTTTCGCGTCCTCGATCTCGTCCAAACGGGCTCTACGCAGACCGGTGACAAAGCCAAGCTGGTGTAATACCAGGAGCACCCATTTTGACGGGTCCCAGTCTAGTGGCGAGGGCCCGGCGCGGAAGTCATACGGGAAGGAATGGTGCTGCGGGAGCGGTACATGATCAGTCACTGTGAAGAGGTGGCAGGCGGGATGACTCACGAAGTTGTGGTTCCCTTCCCCGGCGGTGAGGAGTGCTAGGATCTGCTCTCACGGTCAGCATGAAGCCGTGTACGCTTTAAAGCCCAAAAAAAGACGTACCCAGTTCATCCTAGAAGTATTCTCATCAGTGTATGGTTGTAGTCCGTCCCAGTGCGCGAGGCTGCGAACAGTAGTAAGTACGCTATGCTCATAACCCCATCAAGAGCGATATACATACGAGTTGACGAGAAATGTACAGTGCCAGACTGCGATGATCATCTCATGGTCAAGGGCAAATAGACGAAAGTTGAGAACTGAACACCCACTGAGAAGTCGCGAAACTAATCCTCCCCAGATAAAGGCGCCCCATGCATCGGCCCAAATCAAGCCAAGGAGGGGGGGCAGCAAAAAGCCAAAAAATATGGCTAAAGGCACTGTCATGCGCCAAACGTGAATATCCAGAAAATGTTCATGTCTAGATTATCTTACTGTAATAACGATGTTGAAAGCGAACAACTGGCCAGTAACTCATGGTTCAGCCTTGGGCCACACACGATGAATGGTGTGGCACTCGCCTGGATCGCGCTCAAGGTCTTGACGGTCAATTAGGTCCATCCGTTCGTATTTCGCCTTGAAAAATATCCAACCGACGTGTGAGAAAAGAAGACCTCGAGTCGCAGAATATCTGACAATGTTTGATTCAGCGACATGTTGTGGCAGAGTGAATGGATGGAAGACATACGGGTCATGCTCGTCATCGTCTGTATAACGCTTTTACTGAAAGTCAGAACAGGTGATAGATCTACCCAAATAAGAACTTACATGGTGCAGACGATGTCTCAAGCACCTGTGCAAAACTTCGTGAACGTTCATGCGATCATGAACAACTGAACATTCACATACCACCACTGTAGACCACGGAGATCAGCATAAGAAGTAATAGTTGAAGATGAACAATGCGCAGGAAGTGAACCTTTATAGAACCTTGCATGGCCATCGTGCCCAAAATCGCGAGCACCGATCTAACACCAAGTGAAGCATGGAAGGCACGATGGGAATACAATCTGTTCGTAGCATTGACAGACGTACATCGGTTCCCGCGCATCACTATGAGTCTGGTTGGCCTCACCTGTGATAGCCTATGGTGATACTTGGGTTGGACTCTGAGTAATGAACTGACGCGCAAAATAATGGGAATTCCTCACCCAAAAGACGAGCTCTGCCACACAATGAGCGTCAAGATGAGTGTTTCTTTACGGACTGTCCATGGAAGCCGAACGAGTACACCAGCCACCGCAGCGAGGTGTATACCGACAAAGAATATGGCATTACTCCACCATATCTTCTGTGGCTGCCGCTGGACAGAGGTCGACGTGACGGTCATGGTTGTGAAGAGCAAAGGAGAGTGCAGCCGAAAGGACGCGAATTTTACGCGTTGCTTTGCTAAACATCAAATCAAACTTTTGTCGGGAGCATCGGGGAGAAGCTGGGAGAGAGAAAGAAGCTTTTGTGATCCCTCGACCAGACTTCGCTCATGATCGTGACGAGACACCTTCCCGATTCCAACTGCGTTTCCAAGCAAACGATCTTGGGTCCCAGATGGTTGCCGGTAGCTCGGCGTGCGTACGTACACTTGCATCATGTATAGCTGGTTCAGGATCACTCTTTCTTCGTTCTGACCTCTCGCCACACCTCGTCAGATATTCGTCTGACCGACCGAATCTCTTCTTCGTCAGTCCGCCAGATATTCCATTCGGTCTCTTTTCCAGTGCCCATTCCCATGTCGGGGCGCCTATGCATCATGTTGCCTTCGATCCAACGCCCTCCGCTTAGATGCACGTCGTCGAGATCGTATGGGAGTAGCGCCTCTAGTAAGGCACGGATGGTCTTGGAGTTCACTCCAGACCCGGGCATGATAGTGATTCTTCGAGACCGGTCAGAGGCATTCCTCTCGGTTGCAGCTTGAAGTAAAGTCTGTAATGTCTCCAAAGACGCGGGGGCTGTTGGTCCGTGGCCACTGATCATTCGTTCAGTGCAGATCTTTCGTGTCTGAGGAGAGACTTAACTTACCTTGTCAAGATGCGTATAGGGCTACCCATGTTGGAGAGAGAGTTATAGGCTTGAGATTTCGCGTCAAACGTCGGTCTTAGTCATTACTCGTAGACTTACCTTCCAATGGGTCCCGCGTCATGTCGAAGGCTCTGTGAAAGCAGACTGGTACCGTCGTTATATGACATGCCACCAGCCTGATTTATCATGGCTTACACTCTAGAGGAGTTGTCTCAGCTACCAACCTAATGAATGCCATCAATTCGTAGACTGTTTTTATTGCAATTTAGGTAGCGAGCGAAACGACTTACCGCTCGGTGCGAGCAACGTCTACCGTCCCATCTGCTTTCAATACGCCACACACGATTCCATGAGCTCCAGCCTGTTTGAAGACCTTGATGTCCTCCAGAATGATGTTGAATTCCTCTGGCGTGTACAAAAAGTCTCCCGTCCTTGGACGAACCATCGTCTGCCGGTAGAGATTAACTCCGTCACTGAGGTAGTATCGCCATATAAGACTGACCACGATAGTAGCAGGAGTATGTGCTACGGCTTTCCGTACGGCCTTGAGCAGTCCGAGAGATGGCGTAGTACCGCCACCGAGACCCAAGTTTCCGCAAAGCTCTAGCCGGTCTGCTCCAGCGTTCACTGCACTGTCGGACAGCAAGGTGCTCAGAGATGAAGGAAAACAAATGACGAGACTCGGAGAAGCCACTGTGAGACCGGCCCGGGGTCACCTTCACCTCGCACGAAGGTGATTCTGACCATTCAACCTCGGAAATAGTGAAAAGGAGGTGATAGTGAAAAAAGAGTGAAAGGCCTCTTCGGAAGACACCCCTTGCGAATGGTGAATTTGACCCAGAGGAACTTGCCGGTCATAGGAGCGTTCGTCGCCGCTCAGTCACCTTTCGTGTGGGCCGTACTCACGAGATGGATTGCAGCCGAGTAAGTACAAAACAAAGGGTAGTCAAGTATCATGTATCTACAAAGTCAGGCCTCGAAAGAGAGCCGCTACGATCCATAATAGCCCACCGATTCCCTTCATCCTTCATGCGTGCGACCAAACACTGCACACAAGTGACGTCCACGAACTCCTCTGCCTTCGACTCGTGCGTATAGTAGTGGATATCGAGGCGGCCGTGTGTAGCTT